CCCCTCCCCGTATAACATTCTATGGGTTTTAAGGGTCCTGCAAGTGCTACACTTTGTATGCGTGACATGGACGTAAAGGCCACACCACAGACGGTTCTGTTTTCTGTGATTCTTGGCTTGGCATTCAAATATGGTTGAAAAAAATGATAACCTTTTATCTTTTTTTATTGTCAGGCTTGTTACTATTTACTACAACCCAGCCCAACACATAAGTACCTGCCATTTTTTCTTCAAAAGATGGAGCCAAGGGACAACCAAGGCTCTTGAGCTGCCCCCACCATCTTTCTCTTAGAGAACACTTACAGATCTATTCACAAAAGGGTGAAGAGCTTGGAGAAGGCAGGAGAAGTGAACAATCTAGAACAACATAGCTGATTTAGAAAGTGAGCTGAATTGGAGAATGTTTCCAAATCAGCTATTTTGGCCTAGATTGTTCACTTCTCCTGCCTTCTCCAAACTCTTCACCCTTTAGTGAATAGACCTGTTAGAACGTTCAAAAGATGAAGCCAGTTGGTCATACAGCCCACCAGGGGACATCCAAATCTCTTGAGCGCCTTTCAAATATGGTTTTAAACAAGACATTTTTTTCTCTTTTTTTCAGGCTTGCTATTATTTATTGTAACCAGTCCAACACATACGCTCCCCCATCTTCTTCTTAGAGAACACTTTTACCCCTAAAAACTGTATGCAGTACACCAGGCATGCAATTACTCCTCTGGACCCATGCAGACTTGCAAGCTTTGTCCTCAAAAATAAATGTATATAATATTCTACACACCCCAAGCTGTCAAAAGCTGAATTCTGATTTGTTGGCAGAAGTTACTACATTTGAATAGCATTTGCTTCCTGTTATTAATTAACCCAATAATGGTTATTGAACATGGTGGGGATATATTGGCAACTAGGGTAGCTCTTAAGATTTATACCGTTGGTTATAAAAACTTGTAAAAATGCACTGTCCTGATCACTGGCATTATATGCTGGATACATTATAGATGTCCTTACTGACTGATGTCTAACTTAAAAGAGAACTAAGTGTTTTTCCCCATAGTTCTCTTTAGGGTCACGGGAGGACATATACTAACCTCCTCCCATGACCCAAAGCTCAGTATATAGCGGGCTATTGCCCAGGGTATACTGAGAGCGGCGCAGCTGGGACAGATCCTGACAATACTGTCGAGATCCATCCAGCTGCGTGAGTGACAGCTGGCTCTGCCTTTCTAGAGGCAGAGCCAGCTGTGCCCGCCCCCTCCCCCATTTGTTCCTCCAATCAGTGCTGGAGGATCGGAGAGGAGAGGGGGAAATCCCTGCGTTGAGCAGTGACTGACAGTCACCGCTCTCTGCAGGGAGACAATCGGGAAGTGAACAGATCGACGGCATGTTTCTGCTCACTTCCTGATCAACAGTGCCGACCTGTGACAGCATCTTTGTCACAAGTCGAATCTAGCTATGAGGATGAGTGGAAATCACTCACCTCATAGAACTCCTTTAGGCATATCTTAGGCCGAAATAAAAAATGTAATATAATACAGCTTAGCAATCATTAGATGTAGTGAAAACATTAGTTTTCTTTTTTTTTCAGGCTTTATTTCTATTTTTATCTTGTGATCTTGCTAGAATCACACTTCATGTCCTAGAATGACAACACTCACTATCCTTTGTATCTGCGGAGTAGCAGTGTTGTCAAGCAAGGCTGATTTTCTGATTTGGACTACAAACACCCCCATCTTCCTTTCCATAATATAGAATGGTGTTACTTTCTAGTTCACAGAAGATACCTGGGAAGGCTGTTAACATTGTTTGAGATATCAGTTCACTGCACAGAAATTTACAAGGATGCTATAATTTTGGCAGGAGTAACAAATACTTGCTACTTGCTTGGCTGTCTCTGGCCTAAATACTTTCTGGGTCAGTGCATATCAAAGTCTTTAGACTTAAACTGCTATTAGGCAACAAGCATTTTTGAAGGGAGAGTTCAGCAATGGCACTGTATTTACTAAGTGCAGGTTCCCTATTAAGCAACTTTTATGGCGTAGTAAGTGTTACTTGCTGTAATAAAGTTGTATATGGGTCATGAGCCATGGAAGCCAAGCTTTTAAGACCGTACAAATATGCTTTTAAATTTCAGTCAAAATAGATCTGTATCACATCTATTTTAGTATGGCATGTGCATACATGAGTAAGAGATACATGTACAGGTATTTTATTCTGCCACAGTACTCCGCCTGACAATGGCTTCATCTGCTTTTCTTTGTCCAGGTATCATTCAGGGTCAGTATCTACTTCTTCGGCTGATATGCTGGCTGAGATGAAAACATCATGTAAGGGCTCATTCATACTAGGTGTACAGTAAAACATGTCCTCTAGGTGCCAGAGGTGAGCTGTGGTGCCCTGCATTGTTACAGCGCAAGGCGACTTTATTTGTACACTTCATTTAATTTCAGTGCCTGCCACAGTACACATCACACCCGTATTGTGGTGGGAGCCACCTAGAAGACAATTGTTTTCTATGTGACCTAGTGGTGACGTGTTGGTCCAGTGTGGAAAGCCCCCAGTCACCACACTCAATGTGAATGGGCCCTAAATCCAGGTGCCTGTGCAGACCTTGGATGCATTCACAATGTCTAAGGGCAGGTTCACACCATTTTCCGGACCAGATCTGGTCTGGAAAATGGTGTGAACCTGGCCACAGTTCCAGTGCATTCCAGACCAGCCAAAATGAGACATTTTGGCTGCGCTGGTGGGACTGCGCTGGTGTGAACAGAGACTGAGGACTGCGCTGGTGTGAACAGAGGCCAGAAATAGCATAGGGATACATTAGGATACATGTTGGGTCCAGAAAAAATCTGGTCTGGTCTGCAGATGATCTGGATGTGGTGAGAATGGGCCCTAACACAGATCAGCCACTGCTGCCTGCCTCTCATGTTGTGACGTGCTACAAAGTTACAATGTTGCAGTCTGATCACTGAGGAGAGATGGGACCGTAGAAAATACATGCCCATACATGCATATGAAGTCACCTGACGTCCTCCTCCAAAATGGCAGTGCGCATGCGCAGAACGTGTCGGAATATTTTAATGGCATCAGAAAGTTCAATATTATACTCTGTACAAACTGATGGTCAGTCTGTAGAATCTATGCATGCAGTAATATCTGTCTGTGTAAATAGTGAACAGATGTAACTCTGTGTGTTTTCTTCTTAAATTAAGAATTTATATCTACAAAAAATCAAAGGAAAAAACAAAAGTATGGCTATAAACCCAAATAAACAAATGTGCTTTGTTCAAAATCATAAGCAATTATGTGCTCGCATTATACACAGGAGACAAGCATTCAGCAGTTTATCCACATGACTCATGCACATAGCTCTTTGAACTTATTATTCGAGGCCAATATATGGATCTTTTTGCACTAGACCACCACTAATTACATCTTCTAAGCACTTTCTCAAGCTTTGATGGTTCAGTCACAGGGAAAAATGCTGCAACTTATTCTACCTCATCAAAGTTGATTTTTCAGTCTCTAAAACTATTGCTGTGTAAAACTTGCAAGGAAAAAAAATTAAATCAAAATGGCAAATGTTAATCCTCCCTGTGTCCTTATCTCTAGGGCGACTGCCAATGAACTGGCCTTGCTAATCTCCCGCATGCAGAAAAATGCTGACCAAGTGGAAAGGAACATCTTGGAGACTCACCAGAAAATGAAGCAGGTGAGGATATGAACACTTTGGGGTCTATTAAAAAACAATGTTCAGAGCCACCCACCTTGCTAATCTCTAAAATGTTCATTCTGTGTGAATAGAGGCAAAAACAAACGTGCTTAGTATATTTTCTTTTTAGGCCAAATGTAATGTAATATAACAATTTGGCCACAAGATGGCACTGAGGAGCTTAGGAAATAAATATTTATTAATATTTAATAATAGCATAGGAAATGATAATTTCCTATGCTCCTCTGCTCTATCTAGTGGCCACAATGCAGTATTATCGGAATGTTAACGGATAATAGATGGCAGGTTACAGAAATAGCAGCCTTGGGTCTCATAGTTTTAGGATCATGCACTCCTCAGCAACGGCTGACTTACCGTCACCTTGCTGTGCAAGCCGCTGAGTTTCAATAGTCATGATGGTATTTCTCCCATTGTAAAGCCCCCTGACAGCACATGTTTGAGTCTTGATCTTACAAGCAGCAGGTCAGCAGACAGCAGCACAATTCCAAATGTGAGACTCCAGCAGCAGCTCCTCTCCAGATGCTTAATATAACACTGAGCTAGCTTCAATTTCACAGAAGCAAGAATGTATCTCTGGAAATTCTGTTTCTGGCTTTAGTGCAATCCCAGATAATAGCTCCATCTAAGGATCAGATCTTAATCTAGCAATACAATAGTGTGTCGAATTTATTGTCACAAGGCTTTGTTACCTTGGCTATTGTCTCACTGACACCCAGATTTATGGGTTGTTGGATGATTTATTTCAGTGTTTTATCCTCTGTTATGGTAGGTTGCAACCCTTTGCTTATCTTCCGTATATGTTCTGCTAGTGATTGTATGTCACCAGCAGTGCGGCTATTTATTTGTATCGCTTCGATTTGTAGATACATTTTTTTAAAAACTTTTAAACAACCTAAGCCCTGGTTCACACCTAGGCGTTTTTGAGCAGTTCAAAAAGTGCTTTTAACTGCCCAACACAAGAAATCCCATGATTTTCAATGGCCCTGGTTCACAACTGAGCAGAAAAACGACTAGCAGGGAAACGCTAGACGCCTGAAAAGATACAGGAGCTTCTTTTGGTAGTTAAAAGCACCTTTCCTCCCCATAGACTTCATTGGAAATGCCCAAACACGCGCAGCAGAAGCATGTTGCACATTTTCGTGGGCGTTTTTTGCGCATTTATATGCAGGTTCTTCCATTGCCCACGTGGTTTATGAGCTGATAATCAAAATGTGCTAAAAGCATGTTTTTTTCCCTATTTTTGGCCAATGTTTATGTTCTGTAGATTATTTATTTCATTTTCTTTGTCAACAAAATTCCATCAATGCAGGCTTTAAATCTATGTGAGCTGTGTGCAAACCACTATATACATTGTATATAAGATTGTTCTTTAATCTTTTAATGGTCCTTACGTCAAGTTAAGTGTAGACGCAGAAACATTTTTATTTATTTTTTATCCTGAGGCCATGCGGGATAAGGTTTCTTTTCATACAACTTGGCAGAAAAAATATATCACTGTTGGTCTGTGTTTCCTTTGTGTCCAGGAGGGTTAACTGCTTCTTCATGCAGCTATATTCACCAGTACTCCCTTCATAGCTAAGTTATTGTAGGCGTGTAAGTGCACTTGTTGCACATTTTTTATGTACTGTGCATTATACTCTTTATATTGCCACTAACAGCTTTTTTCAGGACAAGCTTTCAAAAGATACACTTTTTTTTTAGCTTAAAAGCACTTCTGATTTATAGAGTTTTAAAGGGAATGTCTAGTGCTTTCAGTTGTATTATAGATAAACCTTTTATTAATATCCGGAGGCCAGATTTACAAAGTTCAAGTGCGTGCTGGTGCGCTACAGTGCCATTCATTCTGAAAGGGGCCACAACACACTTTTTTTAAATGCACCTGCAATGCAGCACACCGCAAAGCAGAAATGCACTACCACCCGTGTGCAAACACCTTTTTTGAAGTGTTAGAAAGCATTAACGCACCAAAAACATGTAATTGTCCTAAATGTTTGAAAAAGTATTGATTGGACACGAGTTTTCGTGTTATAAAACAAATTGTGGTAGTAAAGACTTTCTATAATTGCCGCAGTTAGATTATTGTTTTTTCACTTTATCCCCAAAGCATGCTGCCAGTCTGCCCTCCCTTGAATGGCAATGACAGTGGGGCTCCCTAGAGCTGCTGTCAATCAACACACTTACTGTTTTGTTATATGGTGTTGTGTGTGATGAAGGAAGCTGGGAGCATAACACGGGATAGTAAGGTGAAGACGCAGCTTTTTAATATATGTTTTTTTAACATAATTCGGAGCATGCTCAATGTGGTGGCAACAGTGCAGAAGCTAGATAAGCCTGGAGATCATTGCCACTGCTTACAAGAAAGAATAAATGACTGGCAGGATCAATAGTTATTTTTACCAACAGTTAGCTTGCAGGAGCTGGATGCTGTAATGTCCTTTTATGGGTGTTTGCAACTGCCGTAAATATTCTTACTTATACATGTAAGTACAATATTGGATTCAGCCATGAAGTATGCAGCATAGCTCCCAGCTACTCACCTCCCCCATTTCTGCCTGTCCTTCTCTGTATCTATCTTGCTCTCCGTCTTACCCTTTGCTTTCCATCTTTCCCTCTCTACAAGGTATTATTCTACATTCTTCCAAATACCAATGTCTTCTTCTTTTTCACTGGCAGGATGCTGGTAATTATGCACTGAAGAAATCATTTCAGCATCAACAGGAGAATGCCAAGAACTTAAAGGAATCTGAACTTCTGCTGAAGGATCTTTTTCTGGATGTGGACAAAGCCAAGAAATATGGACACCCTCAGGCAGAGGAGATAGAAAAGGAGTAAGTGAGGCAGACACCAACAGTGAAAAACAAATATAAAACAGAAACATATAGGTGAACACCACATTGGTGGAGATAGAAAAAGAATACAGGCAAAAGGATATGCCTTTTAAATGGTGAATGAGCATTAAGTTTAGAAATCCAAACTTTCTTTTTTCATTTTGGATAGAGTATAAAATGGTCAGAACCTCTGTCAGTTGGCTCCTGGAAACACTACAGGAAGTGAGAGGAAATTTCTACAAGTCCCTCAGGGCTAGTTCACACCAGAATGATTCGGTGCAGGAACGCACTGGATCACATCCTGGCCGACTCACTGCGTTCTGGGGAGGGAGGGGTCGTCAGCCGCCGAATCGTGCTGGAACGCACTGGGGCTGGTGTGAACTAGCCCTCAATCCTTCCCTATTCCATTAAATGCTAAATAAAAAAAGTACACAGGCTCTTCCTAGAGGTTAATAAGGGTTTCCAGACCAATTACATGCTTTGCTTTTATGACTTAGGAGGGAGAGTTCAAAAGATCCGAAGTGTTTTTTTTTAGAGGAGTGGAGATGCAGTTTACAGTGGCATTAAAGTAAAAAATGTTTTTCCCTCCCCCCACTGTTAATTAAAGCACTTACCTTAAATTATGTTTCTTCTTCTTTCCTGTCCTTTTCATCTGTGCCTCCAGCGCTGCGGCGGGTCTCCGATCCAGCGCTGACTCCTCTGTCCTTGCTGGCACTTCTTGTCCCACGGTGTCTGCATGCGGGTGCACGCGTCCATAGACTTACCTTGTGTCTCTCCTCGCATCTCGGCCGAAAATGTGAACTGCGCATGCGCCCGCCCCAAGATGCTTTGCGGCCGCCCGAGAATTTTCACATTTTCGGACTGGAGCGCGCGTGGAAGACACAGGTAAGTTTAAAACGCTTTTAAAGAGGTTTTTTTGTACACTTTTTGCATATATCTACTGCTTTCTAGCAGTAGATGTATGCAAAAACACCAGAGTCTGTAATTATACTTTAAGTTGTTTATGCTCTCCATGCTCTCCTGCTCTACAGGAAGTAGGAAATGTATCTAAATGAAGGATCAGTCCCCTCTAAGACAGCTGTCACTGGAACAGGTGTCCTGTTAGGAAGATTTTCCCTCACTTCCTGTTCTGGTGGCAGCTCTAAAAGGTCCCTCTACTTCCTGGCCCTGTGACAATAGTTACCAAGATAAATAGAGAGAGTAAATTGCCACAAAGTGGATTAAGAAAAAACCTGGCAGAGGTTATCACACTTCCACACTTAAAGTAGTATTAACTACTTGCCGTCCGCCTGTTAAACATTATAAACAGACGGACTGCAAGTTCCTTCCTGCAAGTCGCTGTATACGAACTGCGTTCTTTTTTTCTCTTCGCGCACACACAAGCAAAATACAATAACAGTTTTAAACAGCCAACAAAAATATGTATAAAAGTGAACTGCGCCAAGCAAGCTAACAGCTACAAGGCACTGGAATATAAACGCACTGTGAGGGTGTATATACTTGAAAAATAAACAACTAAATGTGGCGAGCTACAACAATGAGCGATACAAAAAAACAATAAAAGAATCTGTGACTCAAACAAATGTCAGTGAATGAATAGTAAATGGATCAGATGTGAAGTCTGTAAATGTTCATAACTCTGAAGATATGTCCATATATAAACAGCAATAGTGATGAATATTTCTTGTTCCTTCACCAAAGTTAGTTATTTAGTTTTAAACAGTACAGTACCGACTTTAGCATACAAGCATTTGGGCGGCTCTAAAGCTGCCCGATTGCTTGTATGATGCCAAAGCCTGTGCAGGCCCCCTCCACTGCTGCACCCGCCCCCCCCGCCTTTCACCTTCGCTGCCAGCTATACCAGCTCCTCTGTGCCCCTTGCGGGCCCGGGGTTGCCACAGCTGCTGCCTATACTGAATACGGAGGGAGGTCAGCATTCTTCCACTTCCGCCTTCACTTCTCTGAAGGTGGAAGTGATGTGTATTACATCACTTCCACCTTCAGCTGTCATTTCTCTGGCTGCTATAGCCGGAGAAGAAGCTGATGTCTCCATAAAGAGGACCTGTCATTGTATATTTGCAATCACATAGCGGGCTTGTTGGCCCCCTTTGTGATAGCAATAAAGTTAGGTGTAAAAAATAAATAAATTAAAGTCACTCGGCTGTAGATCCCCAAATCATCTCTGAATTGGTGCTGACACTGTCCTTACTTTTGTTGACCATGGTCCCTGTGTGTGTTGTAAAAGTAGCCCCCCTCCAGAAGGAAGGACAGTGTCAGCACCAATTCAGAGATGATTTGAGGATTTACAGCCGAGTGATACACAAATAAGATTTGTCAACAGTTAGGGCATTTGAAGGCATTTTTAAGATTTAACTCCTGAGTTTAATCTCACTTTAAGAAACCTTTTGACAAAATCCCCAAAAACGTTTTGGCTAGAAATACACTTAAAAAAGAATAATCCACTTTAAAAAAAGTCTATGTTCTCTGTGTTTTTGTAAGAGGTATGTGACATACAGACTTAAATAAACATTTTCTTTTCTTTGTGTCCAGCATTCGCCATCTGCATGAGCGTCTAAGTGCTGAGTGTGCAGAGTACAGAGACGTGTATGAGACATACAACATTGCACCCCCTGAACCCAAAGTCAACTGGCCACAGATCCTGGACACCAAGAAGGTACAGTCTGACCAGTATACGTCTATGAAATCTTTTGAAAACAGCACCTGTAAATTTTTAATACAAACCTTAAAGGTTGAGAATACCTATGTATCCATTGCTGGTGGAACCCAATGAATACTTTTATGTGACTGGAAAATCACCCTGCTACAGTTCCTAGATTATGAAATAATAGGTCAGCAGTCCTTATAAACAATGCAGGCAAACGCAAGGAATCTTTGCTGAAATCTTCTGTAAGCATGTTCAAACAGAAACCTTGACGCATTTTGCACTAGAACAAGTACTGGTAGTGCGAAACGCATCAACATTTCTGTCTGATGTTGTCTGTATATTGTGCTCTTTTGCAATAATAAGCACCCATTCAAACTGCATGATTTCAGCAAGGATCCCCTGTGTTTGATTGCATTGCTCATGATTCATGATGGGACCCCGCAAGGTCTGAGGCACTATCTGACCTGCGGTCAGGTGCAGGACTGTAGCCAATTACCGTTTTCGGACGGCGCAGTGCATTGTGGGATGTGCCGGGGTCGAACAGACCGCGGACATCCCATAATGTTGGCCATTCGGCGATTGCTAGAACATGCTATGTTCGAGTCGAACCTATGGTCGACTCGAACATGCAGCCCATCCTTACTGCTAAGATCGAGTGTGCATGCAGCAAGACTGGTAGCCAAATCTCCCTTGCAGCAGCAGTTATTTATTTGCAACTATTCTTATAGAAAGTAAGCGACCAGTAAAAAAAATAGCTATATCTGGTCATTTTTAATGCTACTGTCTGAGTTGTGGCTAAACGCTAGGTAAAAGGTATTTTAATACCAATTAATCTAGATCTGTGTTCATTAGGAACATCAGTGTACGTATATTTACATAGAACTAGTATAAATACCTGATTCTGTCCCATAATCAGCCTATAAATCCCCAAAGCAGCACGCTCATTGAGGGAGTGAAATCATCCAATCAGAGCTCTACTACTGCTTTGTCCTCAGACAACAGTTTGAACATGCTTATGGAATCAGACAGCAGTCTGATCACTTCATCCGTCTGCTGCTCTTCTTTAATTGTCTAGTAACAGAATAGACACAGGTTGTTGACCAAGCTATATATCTTAATTGCATTAGAAAAAAAGTGAAATCACCGATTTAAATCTGCTGTCTGGCAGGGTGCCAGGATGACAAAACAGGTTGAACACAATTACAAATCGTTTGGAAGATAAAACAGTTTATCTATACATACTGGGGGGGAATTTATAAAAACTGGAACAGATATAATCTGGAGCAGTTGCTCATGGCAACCAATCAGCATCTCTCTTCAGTTTGCTCAGGTAAGATTAGAAAATGAGAGAGAGATGCTGATTGGCTGCAGTGCAAATCTGCTCCAGTTTTCATAGATCCCCCAACCTGTATTTAAAAAAAACATCTCCGCTGAAAGAAATTCTTAAACCTTACAGTGGGGCTACTTTCACACTGCAAGAGTAAAGTGGCCGTTTGTCTGTAGGTAAAAAAAAAATGTATACTCACCTGAACCTCGGATCCAGCTGGCTGTGACCATCGTTAGCTCAAGCCTATATATCACAGAAATCACTGCGCTGGAAATGCGTGCCTAACTACCTGATTGGACCAGCCGCAACAATGTGTATAGGTGAACAAATGTAAAGCAAATATGTTGCGCTCGGTCTATGTGAACCAACTACACACTAAAGTGTTAATAAACAAATCTGTGTAAAATTACAACAATCCGTGTGAAAAAATTGATGCAAGTGGATTATTTACATATGACTAGAAGGTTCAACACACAAACATAATAAGAATAATAAAAATCAACACTGGAACCTTCAGAATTAGTGCCAGTGATCAACCTCATTGGTTCGGCATGTATATCTTAAACACGTGAACCTCTGGCTAGCGGTGTAGTAAAACAACACAGAAAACTAAAATTTAAACCGTGATATTAATTTAAGCTGTGAACAAACTTTGAAAAGGAAGGAGGGGCTCTGTGGTGGCCCTCCAATACTCAAAAAAAAACGTGCAAATAAATCAAAACTCTAAAATAATAACAGCAAAGAAACTGACATTTCAAGGGGCATGTATCATTACATGCATAACCAACGAACAGCACTTTAAGAAAGGGCAACTTCCTTCTCTCAGTGACACTTGATCAATCTGTCCGGCAGTCCTCCAAACATTCAATGACAATTCCCCAAGAGGGGCTCCTTGTTAAAGAGGTCTTTTAAAGTTCTGGTTTTCCAACCCCTTCTAATGTCTCCTTGTCAAGTACCGGCGTGGGTCTCTCCTTCTCCTTCGGTCACCTGATCCCTCGCCGCCCGGAATGGCGGCGTTCACCTAATGGTGTCCCCCAGGGAAAAATTTGAAGGAGACAAAGAGGAGGCTATCTAAGTGCAGTAACACAAATATTTATTTCATAAAAGAACTCAAATGCACTTACGGAAACAACGAAAAAAAATCGAGCTTTTGAGCGTTAGCAGCACTCAGCTAAGAGAGATGAAGGCAGGTTTTCCTTTGACATGTTTCGTTCAATGACTTTCTCAAAAAGTAATGAATTTCTTTTCTTTCAAAAAGGAATGAATTTCTTTTTTGAGAAAGTCATTGAACGAAACATGTCAAAGGAAAACCTGCCTTCATCTCTCTTAGCTGAGTGCTGCTAACTGATCGCGGGATTTCCCGCGATTCTCGTACGAGAATCGAGCAGTGTATGGGCACCTTAAAAGTGCTGTTCGTTGGTTATGCATGTAATGATACATGCCCCTTGAAATGTCAGTTTCTTTGCTGTTATTATTTTAGAGTTTTGATTTATTTGCACGTTTTTTTTTAGTTTTTTTTTTTAGTATTGGAGGGCCACCACAGAGCCCCTCCTTCCTTTTCAAAGTTTGTTCACAGCTTGAATTAATATCACGGTTTAAATTTTAGTTTTCTGTGTTGTTTTACTACACCGCTAGCCAGAGGTTCACGTGTTTAAGATATACATGCCGAACCAATGAGGTTGATCACTGGCACTAATTCTGAAGGTTCCAGTGTTGATTTTTATTATTCTTATTATGTTTGTGTGTTGAACCTTCTAGTCATATGTAAATAATCCACTTGCATCAAATTTTTCACACGGATTGTTGTAATTTTACACAGATTTGTTTATTAACACTTTAGTGTGCAGTTGGTTCACATAGACCGAGCGCAACATATTTGCTTTACGTTAGCTCAAGCCTGTCTCCTGCTCTGCTGCAGCGATGGTATGTCCCTTGGCAACCTTACATCCTATACACTGTGTATAGAACGTGATAACTGGAGGATCCTTGGACCGCTGCAGCAGAGGGGGAGCAAGGCAGAAGAGACTAGTTGAAGACCTGGGAGGCTCCAAGGATTAGTTAAGTGTAACCTTTTTTTTTTATTTAACCTACACACAAAAGAGCAATTAACCCTTGCAGTGTGAGGGAAGTTCCAATGCAAGGGTTAAGAATGTTTTCTTTCCTGGAGTTCTGTTTTAATCTCTTTATTTGGTAAAACTGTCTGTTAGTATAATTTCACCAAATGTTGATTCACTGAGAATTCTGGACAATCAGATTTTTATGTCATCTTTATTGATTTTTATATTATATTATTCTTGCTGTAGAATCAATTAGACCAAGGCCAGTATGGTCCCAGTATTGCAGAGGTGGAACGTCAGATTGCAGAACACAATATACTGCAAAGAGAGATTGACGAATATGGAATAGAAATTCAAAACCTGCCACAGGTAATATGTTACTCTCTATATTCTTTTGCATTATCATTATTGCTCACTAACACCGCGTGTGTCTATTCCAGCAAGTAAAGTTTTGCAAATTAATAGCAGCAATAAGAAAAAAGGGAACTTAAAAGGGCAAAGAAAAAAAATTAACTTTAGCTAAAAAGCATTAAAAAAGTCATTATCGACCGTAACAATTTTTTTAACGCATCTTAGAAGAATGTCTCACTCTGTCCTGACTTGCATATTTTTTCCAAGCTGACCTCCAACAGCTCAGCATGGAAATATTGAAGTTTGCTCGCTGCCTGTCACATTAACATAGAACAAAAATATTCCTCTTTGAAATTTGCCTTATGCATCTCTGTGTTTCCCACCTTAAAGAGAGGCTGTGCTTTGTCCATGCAGGGAAAAGCAACAGGTTTACTTTAATGCAAGCCCTACCAGCTTCACAAACTTACCCTTCACTTCACACCCCAATTCTTCATTTGGTCACCAGGAGCAAAGAGAACAAACCCTGTGTAAGCTACAAGTCACAGCTTAAACAGGGCTGAGGACTCTTCCTCATGTGACAGCAATGGGTGCCCAGGAGGCCAATTGCCAAGCAGCACTGTCACATGGAAAGAAAGTGAACAAGTAACATACTCATCTATACCTAAAAGAACAGGGTATATTTCCTCCCTCTCAGCAGGTGAAAAGATTGGCAGGAGATCAAAAGTAGGATGAGTATGGTCTGCTGGTGGGGCTGCCATAAAAGTGTATCTGTTGCTTTGTCATGAAGCATCGCAAGAGGCATAGAAATACGAGAGTGTGCCATCTGCAACCAAGTAAAACAGTACCACTTGTTTGAACAATGTCTTGGTCAGTCTTAGCTTTGACCACTTTTTAAAGCCCTACTTAGTTTTTTACACCCACACCAGAATAATGTAAAAATAAAAAGTCTTAGTGGCTTGGTGGAAAGTGACCAGTAATAATTACATTGGAAGTTGGGGGTTCCCTCTGGTGTTCCAGAATGCTCTTAGATATACAGTATTTTCATTACAGGTTGAATGTATGTAATGTAATACTGCATTGTGACCATGAGATGGAGCTGAGGAGCTTAGGAAATAAGTATTCCTAATATTATGTCCCCATACTGTGTTCTGATTTGGCGGTGCTCCATGGTACAGTGCTAAAATACTATGCTCAAAAAGGTGCCCTTGGGGCAGAATGCAGGGAGGGTAGGGGAAGGGCAAAGTATGCTTGTGGTTCAACTTGGTGTGCCTTCCAAGATCCTCTTCTGTTTTAATCATACCAATAGACAGGCATCAGGTCATGGTTGTTATTTATTTTTATTACTTAAATATTTTATACAAGTTTTGAATTTACTTTTGTACGTTGTGTTAATAATAGGGCCAATTACAAATCAATGTCACGCATTGTGGTGTATTTTGTGTGTAATACAGAGGGTTATACATTGCAAATGATACTCAATGAAGCTGAAATCCATGTGCCTTTGCATTTAAATCACACTTTTAAATGTTTTCACCAATTTTGACATGAGAACATTACAGTATATCAGGTATCAAAATAGAAGGTCTGAGATCCTGATACTAAAAGAATCCTTATAGCAAAACATGTTGTTTAGTTGGTGCTCTTATACTGGCCTATCCAGCACCAGTCCCTGATGGCCACACATGACAACACAATCATGTTGGCTATGGGAGGTTGTGGGCACACAAGGCAGGGTGTAAAGGCAAGCAATGCAGCATAAAAAGGAGGGCCAGAGGTCAACAAGAAGTAAAACTGGTATGCTCTTTTACAGCTTGAATCTCCCAAAGTCTGCTGATATGAATCTGCAAAATGTAGGTTAAAATTCCATTGTGTTGTGCAAATCTCTAATATCTAATACCTACTGCTAATAAATGAATACAAGATACATATGTACTACAAATAATATTGGTACTTGTGACATCATAGTTACCCATAATAGTAGGTCATAGCATGTACAGTAAAAAAAAAAAAAAAAGGTTTCCATGATCCCATCCCATAATTTATTAGTTGTTAATACCCACAAGATCATCATTATTATATGTTATTTTTTTCTGTATAGCTATCCTTTGTACTATTGTTCAGTGGCCAGAACTTTATATTTTATTTAACTTACAGGAGAATGCTCCCATCAAGAACCAGTATCGCAGTTTGCAGGTGAGTTACTGATATGTTAAATGACAGCCAGGGAAGACAATGGGAGCCTAACTGACACCTGATCTCTCCATAAAGCAAAAAAATAAATAAAAAGTGTTAAAAAATAAACTATAATAAACAAAAATACCAACAAAAATGTAAAAACACCCCCTTTGCCCCGTACACACATATATGAATGCAAACGACAGTGTATGGTGCGCACATGTACTGCATGTAAACAACAACTGTGCAACACATATTGGATATTTTCACACACGCCAGAGCGAGAGCTCCCTTGTTTATGGTTAACTCTAAACTGATAATTTTGAGTGCCGTCATTTTTCGTCGTATCTAGGGCGCGCATATTTTTTACATATTTGGTATCCATTTACTTGACACAACCTCATCTTTTATTTTGTCCAAAAAATGGGGATTATTTTGTGTACAATAAAGTTCATTTTAGTGTATTTTGTTCCTGAAAATATAGATTTGAGAAATATGTTTGCAAATATGTGACATATAATTTTGCAACTACAATCTTTTTATTCTACAGAAAACATATAATGTTTGCGGGATTTTGAGTAATTTATCTAGGCAAAAATGTAGATTTTAACATGTATATGAAAAATAAAAAAAATGTTTCGGAGGCACACTAGTTAAGGCAGAATGGGGCCCTAGGCAAGTTAGTAGCTTTGGCCCCTTTGATTAACATTAACAAAAACTACAACAGGTACTGAGAAGCTGCTCGATTTCTATCGTCTGTACTGACATGGCCCATCAGACGCTAACTGCCTACAAATACAAGACAGGTGCACAGCTTTGAGCGATTGTGCTATCCCCCTAGTTTATTTCAGAAGCATGGAAGCTATAGCTGGGCCCCTTGGACATCTACCAGAGCTAGGCCTTTGATTTGCAAGCAATATCATTTTTTTGTGTCCTACTTCATGTGCTCTCGTTCAAAGAATTTATGTTAAACTCTACTGCTCCTGAAAACAAAACAGGGTAAGAAAACCCTCTTAACCCAACTTTGTCATGTGGACAGCTCTTGTGTTCCTGCATATGTCGAGGAGCTGCCTGCCACCATACTTTACCTTTGAGCACAAGTACCAGCTATAATACGAGTTAGGTACCTTACCTATTGGATACATCTACTGTAGGCCATGTAAGTGGAAAAGATATTAAAGCCCAACACCAGCCAGTCAAATTTGTATTGCTGTCTGTGCTCTCATTGCGAGCTCTCACTTCCTGACCCAGTGAAAGTGTGCCACAAGAACAGGAAGTGATAATTTGCAGAGGTGGACAAAAACAGCTACAAGAGCACATTTTTTAGCAGAAGTGAAAAGGTTTGGAGCCTCTGTTAAGTTTGTATTGTTTTCCGTGCCTTCCATTCCCAGTGACACCTACACCCTCTAATTTATTTTCCTGGTATCACCGTACAAGGGCTGAAGGGGAAACTCTATTATAGTCATTTAAGCCTGTGGCAGGAATACAAATTTAAACAGATGAGATTTTATGCAAAACCCCAAGCAACGAACATTAGTGTTTTTGTATGATATACAAGTTTAAATGTGCATTGGTGACTCATAGTAGGGGTGATTCTGGATCACCAGGCAAACCAGGTCACTAGCATTTTCAGAAGTAGGTCAGCAATGGCAGCCACTGTTGTTCAATTTCACTTACCAAAGGCAATATATTTGAGATCTAAGTATAGTAGTCTATATTTCCCAGTTTTAATTACCAAGTTATAAAATCCACAAGTAACTGCTATGGCCAATATATTTGCTAAAATACCTGGTTGGTGCTTTAAACAGGAAGATGCAACATGGCGGGGTCGCCACCTGAGCAGTCTGTATAATCACCTGCATGGCTGTACAAAGAAACTGATGTACCTGACTGAAGAACAGAACAAGATAACTAAACAGGATTGGAGTGATCAAAATCCTGATCTGCCCGGTATCCGAAGGCAGTATGAGGTAATAATTTGCACCAAATGTAAGTTATGGCATGTACACTATGATAAAGAACCTACTGTGCTCATCACCTTACAAGAGCACAATGTTGTGTGCTAATATCTGTGTGTAGATAATGTTGATGGACTTCCTTCCCTAAACTGACTATCTTAGGGTCCTTAGAGTATATGTAACACAAGCTTCAATATGTTGATGTACAGTGGGGCAAAAAAGTATTTAGTCAGCCACCAATTGTGCAAGTTCTCCCACTTAAAAAGATGAGAGAGGCCTGTAATTGGCATCATAGGTAGACCTCAACTATGAGAGTATGTGATTTGTCTGGATTTGTTTTCTCATTTTGTCTCTCATAGTTGAGGTCTACCTATGATGCCAATTACAGGTCTCTCTCATCGTTTTAAGTGGGAGAACTTGCACAATTGGTGGCTGACTAATTACTTTTTTGCCCCACTGTAATTTCATAGTTAGGTTGAAAAAAGATAGTGTATCATGTTCAACCAAAAGAAAAAAATGGACTTAATAGAAAAGCTCCATAAACAGAACCCTATACCAACAGCTGGTCCAAAGGAAGGCAAAAAAACATTATAAAGCATGGTCCAACAAGGGACTGTTAAGGAATATTTATATATGTATTTATATATAGTAATCATATCCCCCTTAAATGTCTCTTCTCAAGGGAGAATGTCTTCCGTTCAATTATTCTTTCCTCATAGCCGAGCTCCTCCATGCCTCTCATCAGTTTGGTTTAACACTTTTCTGCAGTCTCTTCACTTCCCCATCATCCTTTTTGTGAGCGGGTGCCCAAAATACCAGATAAGGTCTTGCTAATGCCTGATACAGTGTAAGATTGTGGCTCTCACTCCCTGGAATCTAGACCTCTTTTCAAAAATAATTTTAAAATGTACAGCTTTCATTGAAATATTACTAGGTCATCCCATCATAAAGGTCCTTGTCCAGGCACTTCCTGTTATAGGGTGACAATGCACTATCCATGTCTCTCAATTCTGCTCCTCTGTTGCCACTTTGTTACATCTCTTCCTAAAGTGCAACTGATACATATTTTTTAGAGGCACATAGATACTGGATCTTGCTAGACGGAGGCTCAAAGAAGAATTTGTCGCTCAATGCAACAAATTAGATTTTGTTTATATTCTGCAATCATAGATCATGAAATTGCAAATCTGTATGTAGATATGTTCATCCGAAATTATATTGCATCAAGCATTATTTACATGCTCTGCTTCATATGTCTTTTTTTTTTTGCAGCTTTTTAAGGGAGAGGAATTGCTGCCTCAGGAGGAGGAAGTGAATACTATGCTGGATGATGGGGACAGGATGATTGAACTCAAACACCCAGCTTCTGCCTGCATCCAGGTAAGTTACTAAAATGTTATATATATATATGTATATATATATATATACTCTGATATTAATGTTACAGTATGTGATAGCTGAGAAAACAGTACCATATTTCTACACACAAATCTTGTATGGCAGTTTTATACAGTTTCAAGATTAAATTGAAGCTGTGTTGTGCTTTACAGGAGCAAAAAAAAGCTCTGTTTAAGCTCCAGGTCACACTGGTTGGAGCTTACACAGAGCTGAAGACTCTCTCTCTCTGCCCCTATATGTGTGCATTGTGTGAAAAACAAAAGCGAGCCACGTGCTTCCCAATACCAATAAGTACTGGGCATTTCTCTATACTCCGGGCAGCCAAATGGAGTGGTGGAGGTGCAAAGGGAAGCTGTTTGTATAGGGCTGAATTTAACGTGTAACTCCTACATGGGTACCTCCCAGGTTTTCTTTAAGGCTGATCACATATCCAAACATTACTGTCCCCAATCTAAAAGTGCTACCATAAAGCTGTAGAAAAAAAAAACCCATGGAGAAAAGTTAGAAAATATATTTAAACCTGGCTTCTGCTCATTCCGGTGAGATCCTGGAGATGCTGAGAGTCCTAGGTCTCACAAGAAGAATAAAAAGTAAAGTGCAGAATCACCTTTTCAAGAGGTTAGGGATCATCAGCATTACCAAGATCTTGCCTAAAAGATCAAGACCTCGCCCTCGCCTTGGTGTCACGGTTATAACCCAGGTGTATAGTTTTTAACTTTTCTCCACAGCTTTAACACAGTGATTTCACATGGGGTGTAGACCACTATTAAATAAAGGGATCTTGCATTTTGGTGCAAGGTCTGCTTTAAGCTCCAGGCTTACCCTTCTTTGTATATCTGCCGCATACATACATACATTGTGATTGTCACTTTTCTCCAGCCCCATACCCTAAGTGAGCTACTCTAAAGTTATGATGAAGTTATAAAAACTCCCAGAGAGCTTGCACCTTTCTTCGGATCATATTGACTTGTTACTCCTCACTTGCATGGACCCTATAACAGAAGGAAAGGCAGAAAAGGAAGTCACTTGCTACCAGCTTCCTTTCCTTCACTGGGTTTGCTTATTAGATATTGATAGGAGTGAATGAAGAACAAAGGAAAAGTACATGAAAATGCGATTGCTGGGCAGTAGTATTTAGGTGAACTGTACAGTATAGCTGTGGGAAGGGTGGTCAGTTATAAAGTGATAGGCTGCCTTTGATGTCAATGTGCCCTGCCTTGCTACAGATTTTTACATATCCTTGTTGTACATTGTATGAAAAAGTGACATTGATGACTTTTCCAGGTAGACAATGTTAATGTCACACGTGTATCTTCTTTATGATGGTGCAGTCAGTTTCTTTTGCCAACTAATGCATATAGTGTAAGCCCATATAATATTAATCAATGTATTATTTGTCACAGGCTCATGATGAGGCCCTGAAAGGAGAGTGGCAGAATTTTCTAAATCTGTGCATCTGTCAGGAGAACCATCTGAAGAATGCGGAGGACTACAAAAAGGCAAAGAGCACTTTAATATAGACATAGTTATACTTTTAGAACACTTTTGTCTTTGTTTTTGGGCCCATGATTACAACACTTTGTTATATTACTTTCTCTCTTTTCTCTTATTTTAAATGTTTCTTTGTTTTAATTATGAATATTCGGATCACACACTATCCCACACCTTTGCAACTCAGCTCTTATAGGATCATTTTAGAGCAGTTACAAGACTCCTCATCTTTTTGTAGTACAATGAAGTTCTGGAAATGATAACTCATTTAAATTATTGCAATTCAATAATTTGAACTGTTGCCCTAAAGGCCAATAAATCTGTCCCAGAAAATCAGAGGCCGATGGGTGAGGTGGGGGTCCTGTTCTATGATATTGCTTAGAAGACAAAAAATAGATCCCCTTTAAATCTGCATTTCAGACAGGTACAGAAAAAAACAACTTTAAAGCAGTTATGCATTCATATAAACATCATTACATTCATTTTTAAATGCAACTAGTAGAAGACCCTGAATTTAACCACTTGTAGTTCCCCATATAGCAACACAAGGCAAGAGTTACAACTCCAGTACCATCTCCTACAACTAGGAGCCATGTTCTGCTTTCACTGTCCCTTCACAACAGATTTGTGCAATAGGTATTGGAGGTACTCAGTACTCAAATTGATTATATTGTATGATTATATGGTGTCTGTCTTTGACATTTAAGTTTCAAATGAAAATTGCTTTCCCAAATGGGTTTGGTCCCATTCCCTGTTTCATAACCCTCAGCTTCCAAACCTGTACCAGTGCTACAGCTGAAGGCTGCATGATCTACAAGACATTCACTGTTAGAAGCCTTGATATGGGATGGTTAGATTATTAAAGAAAATCTTCTGCACCCATAGGTACCTAAGTTATAGTAGTTATGTATTGCGGAAAGAATTATTCACCATCCTTTCTATTTGGTTTGTTTCTCTCAATAATAACTAGGCGCCCATGATGCTTAGCCCGTCCTAAAGTCAATAAGGATAGAGAATTAGTTTTTTTCAAATTTCTAAATAAACAGAGAATAACCAATAAAGTTCTGTGATAACAAGAGATGACTTATGTTTCTACATCTTCACCATTACAGTTTCATGATGATGCAGATTCTGCAGCCCAAATCCTAAAAGATGTCAATAAAAACCTTGACACTAAATACAACCAGCCGAACACACAGACTCCAGGAGTGTTATCTGAGCTACTACTGCAGATGGACAAGGAGGACAAGCAGCTGGCACAGGCTGAGAAGACGTTGTCTGAACTCAAACAAAAAGCACCAGAAATTGTCCCCATCAAACAGAGGAGGCTAAGACCAAAACAGGCCGTTAATGTGGACACGCTCTGTGACTGGGATTCTGGAGAGGTAAGCTTTTGTAATGCATTTTTTGAGAAAACAAGAATAGACAGACCTCTCCAACCTTACGCTCATGATGGACTACAATCTCATATTTAGTTTACAAATTTTAATTGAGATTGTAGTCTATCACGAGAGCGAGGGCTACTTTACAACACACACAGGGACAATGGGGAGCAAAAGTATTCACCCTCCAGAAGGAAGGACAGTGTCAGTATGAAATCAGAGATGATTTGAGGATCTGCAGCCAAGTGACACACAAATAAGATACATTTTTGTTTATAGCTAAGGTACTTGAATGGATTTTTAAGATTTAGTGTCACTTTAACTTTTCCTATACAAGTAAAGCATGGCCCAGCCCCCAACCACACCCTAAGCCTTTATGTTGGTCAGTGAACTACAGGACACATTTAGAAACCAATAAGGAGTCTTGAGAGGTAGGTTTTCAGATTCACCAACCAAACCATATTTCAGATTGTCTTTCACTATTGTGCCATTTTGATGTGGGACACCTATGGAGCCCACAGCTAGTAGGTGGAGTTTTGGACAGACTCCAAGTAAAACTTGTCTACTCCATTAAGTATTTAAAAGAGAACTATGGGGTAAGTGTTTTTCCCCATAGTTCTCTTAAGGGTCACGGGAGGACATAAACTAGCGTCCTCCCGTGACCCAAAGCTCATATATTGCGAACTACAACTCGCATTATACTGAGACCGCCAGAGCTGGGACTTATCCCGACATTACTGTTGAGGTCCACCCAGATCCATGAGTGACAGCTGACTCTGCCTATCTAGAGGCAGAGCCAGCTGTACCCGCCCCCTCCACAGTACGTTCCTCCAGTCAGCGCTAGAGGATCAGAGCGGGGAGGGGAATCCCTGCAGGGAGCCGTGACTGACAGTCACGGCTCCCTGCAGGGACATGATCGAGAAGTGAGCGAGCGACGGTATGTGTTCGCTCACTTCCCGATCTATTGAGCCGACGTGTGATAGTTTCATTGTCACACGTCAGCTCGAACTATGAGGTTGAGTGATTTTCACTCACCTCATAGTTCTCCTTCAAGGTACTTGAGTGCATTTTAAAGATGTAACTCCTGAGTTTATTGCCACTTTATCCTCTATTCCTGTTATGGTGACAACTCATAATTTTGGATTTTCCCTCACTTTTTAATCCTGGTGACAATCAGGACACATAGAAAGGGTAAATGTTCCCAGCGGGGACACAGGCAGCCATTAAACATGCTGCGATTACCTTCCATTCTGGATGCAACCGTTTTTTGCCAGCTGTCATTGTATTGTACGCCTCTCACCTGCAGCTATTGGCAGTCTCACAGAGAGTTTTGTGATACTCATGCATTCCACCAAATTAGCAAATGTGAATGCCTCCTAAAAGGTGCCCATACACCTTACGACCATCGCAAGACTTTTGTCTTGCGATGGTCGTAAGCTAATTAAAAGCTCGTAAGATCTGCCCATCTTGGACTGGCAGATCGTAATTGCGATCATCGAAAGCCCGCCCCGTTTGGCAGTTGTTGAACAAGCAGGCCACTAACCCGCCGAGAATCGTACGGGTTTTCAAGCCTGCTTGTTCGACGGAAGATGTGCGACCGTACAGTACTGTAGAAACAGTCGCACGCCTTCCATACACTGTACGATTATCGTACGATCGCGGGATTTCCCGCGATTCTCGTACAATGTATGGGCACCTTTAGACTTTGCACACCTTTTGTTTGATGCAGCTGTATTACAGGCCTCTATCATCTTTTTAAGTGGGAGAACTTGCACAATTGGTGGCTGACTAAATACTTTTTTGCCCCACTGTATTTAGTGGTGTTAAAACTGAAAATTCAGTTGGGATTTAAGCAAGGACTTCCACAGTTGAAAGAATTCTGCAGCCAAGTGTTGAAATGATTTAAATATGAGATATTTGAACATTTAACTTTTACATAGAAGCTAATAATACATTTTCTCATCAAGGTTCAGTTAAACAAAGGACAGGTGTGCACGCTGAAAGATAATAGCCAGAGGGAGAACTGGTCGGTGCAGACCCCTGGGAGTACGAGTATCAAGGATGTTCCATCAGCCTGTTTCCTGATCCCTCCTCCAGATCCAGAATCTCTGGAAAGGGTAAAGAGGTTAGTGTGATTTCATCCATATTTATTTTATGCTTGAGAGTAAATTATAGTGGAACTCCAAGTGAATATAAAAAACCCAACACTACAGTCCAGTTAGGTGGTCATTACAAATCATTAGATGTATTTATAAATACTGCTAGTGTAACCGCTGTCTGTCTGTCTGTCTTTATATTATCTTTCCGCAATCCCCTGCACAGCAGGAATCTGGCTACGAATAGAGAATACTGTAAGCCAAACAGGTCACTATTACAATGCAGTGTTTTCCAGGACTGAAGGCTAGATGCAGAAGTGTTTAGGCAGCTTACAGTATTTAGATACTAAGAGCCGGTGCACCCCTTTGGCGATTTATTGCGCTGTTCGAGTCGCGCGATATCGCATGAAACACAGATTCACATTGAAGTCAATGGAGGCTGCTCACACCTTTGCGGTTTGCGGTGACCAAAATAGCCTGTCGCACGAAAAGGTGCAGGAGCTATTTTCGGGCGGTTGTAGCATGGTTTGAGTCACATAGACATCTATGCATTGAGAAATGCGTGACAAATGTGCGGTTTACAATGAAGAGTCAAGCGATCGAAAAGAGCTCGGCATCTGAATCGCCTAGTTGTGAACCTAAATAAAGGCAGTTTGTTCAAACCAAGAGAGGTTTACTGAACAGAGTGCAGTTAAAGGACGGGGTCGGAGAGTGAAATTATGGTATAAAAGATTACATTTATTGGTTACGAAATAAAACAATTTTCCATATGAACAGACTATACAATTCAAAAAACCATTATCCCTACACCCTTAAAAAATGATCATTGCAATAATCTATTCGTACAAATCAGCACTCACACACAAGCGGAGCCAGCTGATCAATATACTCTAAATCTTCAGGTGGCCCTCAATTCTGAGCAGTGTAGGACTAAAGTGAGGAAGTGCAATATGGTATATGTCAAATGCCTGGGAATTTCCAATCAAACTTTCTTAATGTGTTTCTCTTTTTCCGTGGAGTGTCTTAAAGATATCAATTAGTTGAGGTAAAGTCAATATGAACATTTTGACTTGGATCCTATGGACGCCTTCTTTGGATACTATAAGTGTCACTGCAACGGATACTTAGTTGGTAATATCTTGCATTGTAACAAAAGAGCATGAGAATACAAATAGGCCCGGTGAGTCAATGTACTGTGCGCCGCTGAGTTATAATCACACTTGGCGAGCAGGGTGCTTCCCTTCTGTGTGTAAAACAGGAACTCGAGTAGGTTTTACTCACGGCTACTTTAACTCTTTGAACCGGACGGTCACTCGCTCAAGATGTGTGGATACTTGATGTTTTAGTTTCCAATTGCGCTCGTGATGATAGTCACGTAGTGAAGGCTCCAGATGATACTCCTGTTGTATCTCTCAGAGGGAATAGATAGTTCTTGGAGGGATTTCAGTTTGACCACAGAAGTATCCAGGTTATTGGCATAGCAAATCCTTTTGTCTCGCTGCTCAAAATAGCCACGCTGGTTAGTAACCTGACATGCAGGTGATATCTCAGCTTCGCATCCTACAGCGGATGATGCGTTTCGCCCCTCCTAGGTTTCACGGGGCTTCGTCAGATCCTGTTGGGTAATCAGTTCATGAGGTTTTTATCCTTTCCTCCTGAGTCTAATATTAACCCATTTAGTGCTGAGTTTGATTACATACGAAACTTTTATCAAATTGTGTTTTTACATGTATACTTTCTGGACAAATGCCAGGCTAACAAATTAGAGGCACCTCCATGGGAGCACCATGGGCTCCAGCGTACGCATGCATTCACCTAGGCATGTGGGAGCAAGACTGTGTCTATTCACATCATCTATTTAAATCATTTGCCAAGATTTGGTATCGCTTTATAGATGATATACTATTAATCTGGTCAGGTTCTAACAGTCAACTACTAGAATTTATAGTGGATCTAAATAAGAACGATAGAAACATCCACCTAACTTATACCATAGACACCCGAGAAATGTCGTTTCTGGACCTTAAAATTCGAGTAGAAAGGGGAAAATTAATGACTAATACCTATCGTAAACCAACAGCGGCCAATACGGTACTCCATGCGGATAGCCACCATCCACTATCCCTAAAGCAAGCCATACCCACGGGCCAATTCCTGCGTTTAAAAAGGAATTGCACCTCTAATGAAGACTTTAGAATGGAGTCAAGAGCAATGTATGACCGCTTTAGGGAACGTGGCTACCCGCATCGAACTCTAAGGAGGAGCTTTTGCTTGTGGGCATTGTCATATATGCCCGTTTGTCCATAAATCCAAACAATTTACAAACTCAACGGGTTCCTCTAAATTCAATATACAACACTTTATTAATTGTAATACAACGGGAGTTGTCTATGAACTGGTGTGCCCCTGTAAGAAATCCTATATAGGAAAGACAAAACGTGAATTAAAGATAAGAATTGGGGAACATTTAAGGGACATAAAAAACCAGAATAAGGAAAGCCCATTGGCACAGCATTTCTTGCAGCATCATGCTGGGAGAACCACGGGCATAGAGGTTAGGGGAATCTATGTACTCAAACTATCGGCACGCAGAGGAGACTTCAATAAGATCCTATTACAGAAAGAAAAAATGTGGATCTTTAAGTTGAGGACCATGATTCCACATGGATTAAACAATGAGTGTAGCCTGCAAGTGTTCCTCTAGCCTTTGTCCCTGTGGTCCTCACAGCACTAAATAAACACACGCCTTCCCCCATCATCATCTCGTAATTAATTCTATGCTCTAACCACCCCCATTACCCTTGCTCCTTTGAGATTAAACCCTACTTAAATAAATAATTTAAATAACAACATAGGTGCCACATCCATTTAAATAAAGTAAATTGTAATAACTTGGTCCATTTAAGATGAGTTAGATATAACCATAGTTGCACCCCCCTCCCTAATTATAATAATCTCTGGAACATACCTGACAATTTGCAACATCCAGTGTGTAGGACATAGGAAAGGAAATATGTAGCATTATAGTTAATTTATCTAGCTGAGCAATGAACATCAAGAACAGGACATAACATTTGTCACATTACTTCACAAAGCGGAATGAACGATTGAATGATAACAACTATAGAGCATCAACTTATTTGTTCTACTACTCCCGTGATCCATCTGTGTTTCTGTTCATCCCGTTCCTTCCCCCCTTCCTTCCCCTCCCCATCCTTAGCCTGGCATTTGTCCAGAAAGTATACATGTAAAAACACAATTTGATAAAAGTTTCGTATGTAATCAAACTCAGCACTAAATGGGTTAATATTAGACTCAGGAGGAAAGGATAAAAACCTCATGAACTGATTACCCAACAGGATCTGACGAAGCCCCGTGAAACCTAGGAGGGGCGAAACGCATCATCCGCTGTAGGATGCTACGCTGAGATATCACCTGCATGTCAGGTTACTAAACAGCGTGGCTATTTTGAGCAGCGAGACAGGATTTGCTATGCCAATAACCTGGATACTTCTGTGGTCAAACTGAAATCCCTCCAAGAACTATCTATTCCCTCTGAGAGATACAACAGGAGTATCATCTGGAGCCATCACTACGTGACTATCATCACGAGCGCAATTGGAAACTAAAACATCAAGTATCCATACATCTTGAGCGAGTGACCGTCCGGTTCAAAGAGTTAAAGTAGCCGTGAGTAAAACCTACTCGAGTTCCTGTTTTACACACAGAAGGGAAGCACCCTGCTCGCCAAGTGTGATTATAACTCAGCGGCGCACAGTACATTGACTCACCGGGCCTATTTGTATTCTCATGCTCTTTTGTTACAATGCAAGATATTACCAACTAAGTATCCGTTGCAGTGACACTTATAGTATCCAAAGAAGGCGTCCATAGGATCCAAGTCAAAATGTTCATATTGACTTTACCTCAACTAATTGATATCTTTAAGACACTCCACGGAAAAAGAGAAACACATTAAGAAAGTTTGATTGGAAATTCCCAGGCATTTGACATATACCATATTGCACTTCCTCACTTTAGTCCTACACTGCTCAGAATTGAGGGCCACCTGAAGATTTAGAGTATATTGATCAGCTGGCTCCGCTTGTGTGTGAGTGCTGATTTGTACGAATAGATTGTTGCAATGATCATTTTTTAAGGGTGTAGGGATAATGTTTTTTTGAATTGTATAGTCTGTTCATATGGAAAATTGTTTTATTTCGTAACCAATAAATGTAATCTTTTATACCATAATTTCACTCTCCGACCCCGTCCTTTAACTGCACTCTGTTCAGTAAACCTCTCTTGGTTTGAACAAACTGCCTTTATTTATGTTCTAAAATAGCAGCAGGGGGTTGTTTTCTTGCTTAGCAAGTGAGAGTCACCAAGGAGAGTTGGGGAACTCCTATGTCAAAAGAAAGGGGTGAGGATCTCGGTGTACATCAATTTATTTGTTCCTAGTTGTGAACCTAGCCTTGAGGGCCGGACAGGAGTCGCCCAGGTGTGCACCCCAGTCGCGCCAGACGGATCGCACGGTTTCGTGTATCGCCGCAATCGTGTTCAGAAGAACAAGCGGAACCGCGCGATCCCCCAGGCGCGACTTGGGTGCCTTTGGAAAATAATCGCACCCACAGCGTGATCAGTGCACACCTGAGCGACTCCTGACCGTGCACGATTGCTGCGCGGTGGGGTGGGGTGTCTCCTAGGCGAGCACCGGCCCTAAAGAGGGACCTGTGATGATGCTCAGTCATTGCTCAAAGAACAGGCAGGTGATACCAGGAAGCTGCAAAATTGTGTCAGCTTTCTCGCGGGTATCCGTGAATCATGGAATGGATGGACAGAATTTCAAACCGTTTGGCAGGTAAAACAGTTTACATATATTTATTTGACCTTCGTATTTAGGTGTTTGTCTGGAGTTACATTTTTAACTATGTTAGATTAGAACCTGAGAACAGCTCTAATATATTTTTCTAAATATGCGATTCATTTGCTGATGATTTTATCTTTTATCAGGTTAGAAGCAGAGCTGAGTGATACCAAAAGGAAAAAGGCTGCAGTGCAAAATGTTCTGAATTCAAGCAACCGGGAACCTGCGAGATCCAGCAAACTTGGTAAGAAAATGGTCACACCCATAGACACAAAGTATTAACACTGGTCTAAGAATGTCACTTTTAAAGACACAAGATCCTATAGATTCCTGGTGGAGGGGGGAAGGGCGGTGAGAGAAGGTTGGGGGGTTTGCAGTGTGACCATTTTTCATGTTTCACCCTGAATATGGGTGTAATATGAAACATAGTCCAAAATGTGAACTTAGCCTTTGAGGGGTCTATTTATAAACAATAAGTATTTATTTGCTATGCTCTTCGGCTACATCTAGTGGCCATAATGTAGTATTACAGTATAATACATTCAGCCTGAGAAAAAAAAATATAGAAATTTGTTTTTGCAATTATTCACACAAAGTGAAGGTTCACAGATATTCACAGGGTGAATGGCTCTGCAATGTGTTCATAAATGGACCCCTAAATGTCAGGCAGACTGTTTGGAAGAGACTAGCTTTCCTTGGAGTCTGTCCAAAACTCCACCTACTAGCACACATAGAGTCCACATCAAAATTGCATAATAGTGAAGGATAATCTGAAGTTTGGTTTGTTTGCTAAACCTGAAAACCTACCTCTGAAGCCTCCCTATTGGATTCTGAATGTTTCCAGTAGTACACTGACCAACAGAAAGGTTTAAGGTGTGGTTGGGGGCTGGACCATGCTTTGCTTGTACAGGAAAAGTTAAAGCGACACTAAACTCAGGAGTTAAATCTTAAAAATGCATTCAGGTATCGTAACTATTAACAAAAATTTACATTATTTGTATATCACTCAGCTGTAGATCCTCAAATCATCTCTGAATTGGTGCCGACACTGTCCTTCCTTCTAGAGGGTGGCTACATTTTGTTCTCCATAGTCCCTGTGTGTGTTGTAAAGTAGTCACCTGTGATGGATTACAAACTCAATACAAATTAGTAAACTAAAACGTGAGATTGTAGGAGATCCAGCAGTTGTACATCTACTAGCTTGGAAAAGGGAAGACAGAGAAGACAGGAAGGGGAGCAACTTGCCTTGTTGTGGTAGTGTGTTTGTGGAGACAGGCAGCTTACTAGCATACACCAGGGTGGCTGCAAGAGAAACGAGCCACCCTAAACCAGGATATCACGACCAGTGCTCAGGGGACCTGCTGATTGTACAGGAAACTGTCCCTAAGAAGAACTATGGGGAAAAGCCTTAACCCCATAGTTCTCCTTTAAAAACTTTTTGACTTTAATATCACTTTAAGTACATAACACGTACACCCTATGTTATGGAGATGAGGAAAGAGGAAGTAGTTCTGTAGTTCAGAAAAAAAGAGCTGCTCGGGGCTGACTACATTCCTTGCATTTCAGTACAGCAGAGCGCTGTGTTGCCAGCCCACAACAGGAAATTAAATAGCATTTTTGCCGCGATCAACAGGTATTTTTCTGTACTTGCACTGTATATAAAAGGGATAAAATGGTGGAAACTGCATGTGTTGCAAAGATGTACTGCATATGTGAATTATTTTCATTTTGCTCAGACATACATTATTTGTTTGTGTTCCATAGAATAGTTACAGTTACATAGTATTTGGGGTTGAATAAAGACAAACGTCCATCAAGTCCAATCCATATAATGCAGCAGAATATTACTACTGCATTACAATACACGTTAACTGGTAAGGGTGATTTTGAAATGGAGGTGTGACTCTAAAATGTGTATATTATTTGAACAGCTCCTGTGGGCGGAACTCCTGTTCCACCAGTCCGAACATCAAGTGCTCCAGGCGAAGACCCTCAGGGAACACAGATTCTCAACAAGCTTAACAAAATCCATGGAGACTTGCAAGACACAGAGCAGGATATCCTGACAAGGGTGCGAGCCCCTGTGAACCGATCTTCACCAAGCCAAGATCTAAAAGGGAGGCTGAAGGACCAGGAGGTAATTGAAGCCAGGAATGTTAACATTTGAGTGCATGTCCTCTTTAATGCCTTAAAGTCATGTCATTGTTTCTAGGTTTACATAAAGCTGGGAAGGGTTAGTAACAATGTCAGATTTCATTTTACTATGGTGTCTCCACTAGGGAGATTTTCTCTCACTTCTAATGCCAGAGACAGTGACCTACAGTTCTGTGCACACTGCCAGACACATAAGACCTGAAGAACGGGATATTTAAGACCCCGAAATACCTTGGCATATTTTTCTGAAGATTTGGGAAAATATATGGAGAGAAAAAACACCCTGTTTGGACCTTTTTATATTTGGCACTCCTGTACCATGTTTTACTCTTGTACTTTGATCCCTCCATCAGGGAGGGCAGACCTTTTTTGTGAGCACCCTTTAAAGAAGAACTCCAGGGAAATTTTTTGTTAACCCTTGCAGTGTGGCTACCCCACCCAAGTCCTCAGATGGTCAAGGGAGGAAAATAAAGTTATACTCAACCAATCCTTGGAGCTGACTTGTTGTTAGACAGATCCCTGGAGCATCTCTCCCCCTCCGCTGCATGGATCTAAGATCTGGGTCATCACGTTCTATACACAATGAATAGGACATGAAAATGCAGAGTGATATAACATAGCTGCAACGGAGGAGGAGACAAGCTGGATGGAGCACTGTCACAGCCAGCTGGCTCTGAGGATCGGGTGAGTATAGCTTTGTTATTTGACTCCTTAGACCAAAAGGAGCACTTAACCCTTGCAGTGCGGGGGTAGCTCCACTGCAAGGGTTAATAAAAACATTCCTTGGAGTTTTGCTTTAGGAAAGCTTAAAAGAAGAAATGACTGAATTTGTTACAATTGACACCAATCTGATTGGATCCAGCATCACAGCAACTATTACTATATCCAGAGACACAACACAAGAAAAAGGTTACCTCTCCAAAGTTAGGGGAAATCTCACCTTTGACGGTTGTCGGTGAAACACGTGCCCCCCTTGGAAGATTTATTCTCTACTCCTTTATAGAGGACAAATATAAGATCTTAGCCCCTTTCTCTCTGTTTTATTGACAATGGTCACCAGGACATTGTGAGACTAAATTTCCCTATGGGGGTCACATACAACAATGGAAACCTAACAGAGCTTCAGTTTAATTCCTCACTCTACCCTAAAACTGCCTTAAATCTGAAGTCCAGGCAGAAATAATGTACCAAATTATTGCAGATTTGTATTCATTGATACATAAATAACAGAATTGTATTCAGTAACTGAATTTAACTTTTCGCCCCAGTATATACTTCTCAACTCTGGAATGAGAAAGAGGGACACCTTTTAGGATAAAGTATGTAGACAAATGACACGCCTCCTGCCACGCCCCCAGTTATATAGACCTTGAAGTATTAATATGCCAAAAATATTTGGATTAACCCTCATGTTCTTTTTGCACCACCAATGTTCCATTATACTGGCTTTTGAAAATAAATGCAATAATTTAGAAGAAAGTTTTGTGTAGCATAACTACTTTGAGTGGTGCATGTTTTATACAGGTCTATACACCCGGCCAAAAGGAGGGACAAGCAAGGATGAAAAAACGACAGGGGGATTTGGTTCCAATGATACTTGGGAGCTATATCTGTATAGTAGAGCTCAGACTGCCTTGCTCATATGCTAATAATGAACACTGAGAGAGTAGAGTGACAGAAAGATGAGTTTCTCAATTTGCTACTTCTTTAACTGTCCAGTCACAGGCTTGTGGAAAGACAAGACCTGTAAGGGTTACTTAACCGCAGCAGAGAAAAAGCAGGTCTCCTGCCCGGCCAAACAGGGCTGTGCTAAGTAATGGGGCTGTGTAAATTTCCTAACTGGATGGATAGAATTTCAAATCCTTTTGCAGGTAAAACTGCTCACCTATATGTATTACATATGTGTACAGTATTTAACGGTTTGCCTGGAGTTTACTTTTTTGCATACCACTAATGGAGACATTTTGCAAACAGAAATACATCAAAGTGCTTATCTAATAAATTACAAATTTTGCAACTTAATTTTGCAGGGAACCGCTCAGCGCATCCAAAGTATTACAGCAGAGAAAGACGCTGCTAAAAGAGAGTGTGAAAACTTTCTTGCCAAGAGACCAACAGGATCTGCAGCAGCTCAACTCCCAACCACATTAACAAATGTTAACAACAAGTACAACGATGTGAAGGTCCTTTCAACACTCTACGGAGAGGAGTAAGCAAAATAAACTATAAATTGTCTGGTTGTATTTGTAGGAGAAAGAATAAGAATCTGTGTTCCATTATGTCCCAGTAGATACATCTTAAGGTGCCCATAAACCTGACGATTATCGTACGATAATCGGTAGGTATATGGTCAGCATGCGACCGCATTTACTGTATGGTCGCACGACTTTCGTCTTACGAGCACGCTAGAAAACCCGCCGAAAATCATACGATTTTCGGCGGCTTGGTAGCGCGATTGCAAGACGAAAAGCCACAAGCGTACACTGCCCGCTCAGCATTACAATCATCGGCAAGCACTCCCCTCAGCGGGGAGGGCTTGCGATGATCGCAAGTACGATCTGCCTGTCCAAAATGGGCAGTTCGTACGGAATTTTTATCACTTTACAACCATCGCACAACAAAAGTCGCGCGGCGATGTTTGTAAGGCATATGGGCAGCTTTAGACATGGGAACCCCTTGTGGTTGCAAGCATGTAATGACCATGGTAATATGAAAGGTTATCTACAGCCCAAACCCTTTTTTTCCCGTTGTGGTTAAAGTAGGGAATGGTTACATTCTCTTTCAGGTTTTTCTTTTCTGTTTTGCCTGTCTGTGTCCCATTGCAAAAGTTTGCCCTCCCTTCCTGTCCTCGAGACTGAACAGTAAACGAGAGGAAATCCCTTCAAAAGGAAAAAACCCTTTTTACACAGCTGTTACTGGAACCGGTGTTCCCATTGGGATATTTCCCCTCTAACCCTCCTCATCACTTTATGTCTCAGTGGCAAAGATCACCAGGAAATAAAGAGAGGCTGAATCTCTGCAGTGGGAAAACAACACAGAACAACCTTATCCATAGTGGAAAAAACAGTTTTGGCCTTAGATATGTGTTAACATTTTGGATAAATTTTCCCCTAGTGTGCCCGCATGGATCTGGTATTTTTGAAAGTTACTAGACCAACATAATGGTCTTGCTTTTCCAAGGCAATACTCCAAACAATTATGACTTCCCATTTGTCTTTGTATCGCTACCATACACCTATTTTTCCTCTTTACATCTTATTACTCTATTTTTGTCACCCTCAAAAATATTTCATATGGGTAACTAATACCCTCTGCTCTGCGATCTGGACGTGCCCTTAAGGATGTCCCATTACACGTCATCCATTTAGCAATGTTGATAATCAGAAGTACAGACAGGGAGACAGTATTATAATGTCAATAGGCTTTTTGAGGGGATTTATAAATCATCCATCTAGCCATATGCTGGCTGAATGTGGTTCGCATAGCATTCTTGCCACTAGGTGGAGCAGAAGAGCATAGACATTTCCTATACTCCTTGGCTCCATCGAGTGGCAAGAATGATTTTCATGCATTTATCACTGGTTTTGTGACATTGTTATTGTAATACATATAGGCCTCTTTTAGTCCATCTTGAGTGATGAATTATCTTCTTACAGAGCAAAAGCATCCCTAAACTTGGAGAATCAGATCTGCATGACTGGGGACATGATCAAAGAGTTTGAAAGTTTCCTGGCACAAGACGGGGCTTTACCTGCCACTCCCAATTGCATCGCGGAGCGCACAAGTCAGATTCAAGTAAGAAACCACATCTTGATTTGGTAGAAACGCCTGTGAGAAGTTGTCATTTGTATCTTGGCAGGCTATAACCAGAGCAGGCTAATCTTCTGACAAAGAGCAAAGAATGAGAAGTTAATGAATGTGTTTCTACAAGAAGACAACAATACTCATCATAATACACCCATTTTCACAGTTAGTAAGAACATTGTTTTAGTGACATCTTTAAAGCTGAACTCAAGTCTTTTATCCCACACTTGTAGCAAGTCCTTTCCTGCGAGGAAACTGATTATTTTCAATTCCCTGCAAACTTGCATTTACACAATATAATCCTTTGAAGTTGCAGCAGCTATCTTGAGCCCACCTTCAGTTCCTGACTGAATGACCTCCATCATTAACTTTCTCTGCCAGCAATCAGGGCCGGTGCTAGACTATTTTGCGCCCTAGGCAAGACCAGCTACTTGCACCCCCCCTCTCGTGGCGCAACCCCCAATCCCCCCCCCCACTGCGCAGCCTTATTCTCCCGCGGGTTAGCTTCTGCAGGCGTCAGGTTGATGTAATTTAATTTGAAATAGCCAATAGCAGGCTGGCTATTGAAACCCCACCCACTGAGCAGAGGAGCAAACCTGAGAGAGAAAGTTGTCTCTCACTTACACTCCTCTGCTCAGTGGGCGGGTGCAATAGCCAGCCTGCTATTGGCTTTTGCAATTTGAAATAGATGGGGGGCGAATGGTCAAGGCTGCCTAGTTTGCCTAGTGGCAGCACCGGCCCTGCCAGCAATCATTTTGTTCCCGAGCTTTATGTGAAAAAAACACATACCTGGCTTGCCTTTAGATGTGCATGCAGCCAGTTAACCAATTAGCAGAGTGCACAGCTAAAATCTGCAGTGCCCAATGACCAGCAGGGAGAAGCAGGTACATCTAAAAGGATCATGGAGATGTGTTCTTTTATGTATTCTTTTGAAAAAGATCTGAGCCAGAATGGTGTACCATGTACTGGGGCTTGCCGCGCCCTACCGCCAAACTTGAGAAAAGAGTAGCACAATCAGACCCAGTAATGGTATTTCTTAAAAAACAAAACTAATTGAAAATTTTGAGCTGCATGTTGATCAGGGGGAAGAAGGTAAGGTATTATTTGCATATACTATACTGCAGCTTTAAATACACTTTCACTTACATACACTGTACATTTATAATGTTATAATATCAATGCTGTATTATGTTCATGTAATTCATTGTAAAACTCAATGTTCATTATTACTGGTCATCAGCCAGAAGCATAACTTCATTCCCATAGGCATGGTGCCACAATCATCATTCTTGGCATAATTATGTAATTACTTATCCCAGTGAATAGGAAAGCTTCTGATGACATTCATAGAGGTCACTGGGAGCATCAGCATAGCGGTGTTACCAGAGTAGAGACCACTGGAAAACCATTAGAGGTGGCATCAAGGATAACATCTAGTCCATGTATAGATTTGACCTGGGCAGGCTGAGCTTTTGTGGTTCCCTTAGTTTTGATACTCTAATCAACAAACGTGTTAAATATCTCACGTCATATCATAACCTGCAATGCAAATTTGAATGTAGACATACACCATGCAATACGGTGGAAGTAAAGCAACTTCACACTGAAAATGATAGTGAAATGCTGTTAACTTTATTTAAACATTGAAAGCTGAACTCTGGGCAAAACAAGATTTTGTTTAACCACTTTTGTTATTTGTAAATCTTTGACACACTGGATAGCCAGCAGGGTGACACCGCTTTTTCTTTTATATTTAAAAGGAATACAGTGGTGTCACTGCACTGCCCCAACCTACTGCTTGGACAAGGAAGCAGCAGCTCACTAATAAGGTCATACAAGCATTGCCCCCCAGCCCTTGTAAGCATGTTCATTGTATTATCTAGGGATGCACAGATACTTTTCGAGTACCAGTGCAGATACTTGGCATTTTCATGAGAACTACCAGGGTTGCCGCGGTTGCAGCTGGGACCTGGCTCTGGCGCTCCACCACTGTCCTGAAATCATTAGTCGATATTGTTTTAGAAAAACTGTCACATGACAATAAACAAAAATGTATCAGTACTCGTACTTGTAAGTACTCGGCAAGTACCAGTACTCGTACTCGCAAAACAGGTATCTGTGCATCCCTTTATTTATATTTATAAAAACAAAATCGTGCATTAAAACAGAGATGTACTAATCCCAGGAGCCCCGTGTGCTCCTTACAAATGACAGCTGCCTCCTAATTTTTGAATTTTTCTCTAGTGTAGTCTTGGAGCTCAAAAGTATCGGTACATGTACTCGTACTTGTACCGAGTACTGTACTTGGTATCTGTGCAACCCTAATTATGACAGAACTTTGGAATGTAATACATTCATGTTGACCTTAAACTAGCTTTTGTGCAAATCATGAGATTGGAAGAACAGCAATAGAAATATAAGCAGAATAGAAAACATATACAGTATGTTTTTCAGCTGTGCAATTAGCGGTTTGCCTTTGAGCATATTTTAATGGATACATAAGTGCATGAAATAGTGTTTTCTGTAATTGCCTATAGTTCAGCTTTAAGGGCCATTTGTCAAGCCATAAACAGCATAAGGCATTAGCCCTCCAGCTATCATCTTCTTGTGTGTGTCTACAATTTTGTCTATATGTCTTGTCAACTATTGGCTCTGAGAGTTCCTTTAGCCAAGTATTGGCAACATTTCCACTGTCATGGTAAATCTCATCATTGAACAAGGTCTCTTGTTTGGCAGCTCTCCTGGAAATGTAATCTTTTTATATGCCAAATTTTAGAAAATGAAGAGAGACCTTGTCGACAAACAGGACAATCTTCTGAAGCTAAACAGGAGCTTAAAGGACACAGAAATGGCCTGCAGCTCCCTACAAAGCAACACCCAGGAACATATTCCTGACCTGCCACAGCAGCGCCTCCAGGTTCAGAAACTCAATGACAGATACCATGCTATAGCTGACCAGCTGGATCAAAGGTGAGCATTATTCTAACAGGCTTGACGGAAATCAGTCTAGCGCAATAATGTTTAAATAGCTCCCAACTGTCCCTCATTCAGAGCAACTGACATCCCTCCGCCCCCTCAATACTCCCCAGTCATTTTTCTTTTTAGTCTGATGTACAGACCACCATAAAAATGTACCGTTTAACCACCAAAAGGGTGAAACTATACTAACATTTCAGCCAACCTCTAAATTATTACATTTATTATTTTGGAAAGCCAGTGTAGAGTAAAAGACTACCCCCTTTTGAAGGAAAAAAAGAGATAACAATACCTAAAAATTATGTTTATTTTAAGGCCACAGAATTAAGTCATGTGACCAGTCATCTGAGCATTATACATCTATAGCTTACTAGTCACTGTGTATTATTTTCATATATTGATATATTTGTATTTCTTTATTCACCTTCACTTATTTACTCATTTTAAATCATACATTGGGTTAATAAAAAATGTATATACAATATATACATATTTAATGCTAGTTGGTACATAGTACTACAACACTTTGGGAATCCAGCATAATCTGGTTGGACAGTTTGTCAAGGCAGATATATCGGTTGACTAATACAATGAATGTGTATATTGTTCAAACATCTCCACTGGTCTGCCATGAAAGGAATTAGCGTGCAACAAAGTTGGGTATTGTTTTAGGCCTCAGTAGTAAAACTAAGCTGAGACACTGTCAAATATTGCTTTACCTCTGGACAAGAGGGATCCATATAGGACATGAGAATGTATATCACAGTGTTGGTTTACGGTTGTGATTACTGAGATAACATTTTCTTTTGTTACAGAGAAAAGTTGCTCAGAGACTCCAACCTACCATATCAGCAGTTCAAATCTTCTAGTGAAAACTTGGACACTTGGCTAAAAGGCCTTCCACGCAACCAGATGACTGCATCAGATAGTCCTAGTCAGGCCAATTACAAGCTACAAAGCCAGAAGGTAAGCTTGCCTAGGACATAACGGTTATTAAAAATGTCTAAAAACAAAGTCTGCTCAGAATGATACATACGTGTTGTACTGTAGAATTGGCACTGTGTTAAAGATGAAGTACTCACAAATGTTATTTTAAAAAAATAGAGTTTTGGGCACCGCCTGTTTTTAATAACGATCAGCCATTTTATTTTGTAAAGTTGCTTCTATCAACCCTTACATCAAATCACATTACCTTTAGTGTTTCAGTTTTTTTTGATACTGTGACGGGTGTTACAAGTAGTGCCAACATCAGATTTTGGAATCATGGGCATTGGCCGCCACACTATATTTCCAATGATTGTTCATGACAAGTCCATTTTATGTGTGCATCCATCGCCATGATAGAGTGGAGTTTGGGGCAGACTCCTAATAACAATGTCATCCAACCCATCAATGTGGGGGTGTCCAGTTGGAGGAGGCGTGGAGCTTAGCTGCCTACTTCTGGTGCTGATATCATGATGTCTCATCTGCTATTGGACATTACAGAGAGATAGCTGGGGGACCGTTAAGTGTTAAGTCCATTCATTCACATACAGCTCTCACAATGGCAATATTTAAAGTGTATGTCTGGGCAAAATAATTAAAAAATGTATATTAAGTAGGGATGCACCAATACTGGTATTTCGGTATTGAGTACGAGTACCGATATGTTGCTTTTGGTACTCGCTGATACCGGTGCTTCCGCTGGCATGGAGCCGGCTTCCCGGGCAATCAGGAAGCCAGGTGGCGGGTAATGACATGCCACCCAGCTTCCTGACTGCCCGGGAAGACGGCTCCATGTTGTTTGGCCTGCTTGATTGTCATTGGCTTTAAAAACTGCTTCCCAGCAATCAGCATCGAGCCGGCTTCCTGGTCAATCGGGAAGTCAGGCGGTGAGTAATGACCTGTCTCCCAGCTTCCTGATTGTCCGAGAAGCCGGCTTCCCAGCCAACGAGCAAGGAGCCAGCTGTTCGGTCGGCAATCCAGGTTTCCAGCCAATCAGCAAGGAGCCGGCTGTGTGGCTGGCTTGATGCCGATTGGCTGGGAAGCTGGTTTCCAGCCAATCAGCATTGAGCCGGCCTCCCACCAAGCAGGAAGGCAGATCAATACTCGCCGCCCGGCTTCTTGATTGCACAGGAAGCTGCTTCAGGTTCCGCTGCAAGTGAAAGAAAATCTTCCATTGACCGGAAGTTCCGGTATTGGCGGAGGTATCAGAGCATTTGGGCAAATACGAGTACTCGCCCAAACACTTGTATCGGTGCGTCCCTAATATTAAGTAAATGTTTGCAATACATACACTCCACACATTTTGTCTCTTTAAAGTGACCCTGTCAATAATTGGAGGAAATTAAACAAACCTAGCCTGTAAAAAGAAGATGATGTCTACTTAACTTTCCAGTAGGCCATGTCTTAACACTTTGCTGTGTTTCAGATTTCTGGCTGCCACTGGTATCCAACACTTTGGATGTGTTGAATACCAGCTCTCTCACTGTAGGCTGTGGTTACGGCATCCATGTCCTGTAGTGATGCAGGGCCCAGCTGGATTTCCTCTCACATCTAACTGTGTTTCCAGGTCAGAGAGTGAAGGGAAATCTTCCAGAAGTGGGGGAAAACAAAAGAATGGAAATTAACAGGAGTCTTCACCATTCGCTACTCTATCTAAAGCTAACAGAAAAAAACTTTTGGGTATATTTTAAAGTAAACCTTTCACAAGATAAACATGAAGGCTGCAATTGCTGACCACTCCTTCTAAAGATACTAATATACACCTATTATCTTTAATGGTTTGAATCACTGATCCATAATTATGCAGACCAGAACTCCTGACGTTTCTGATCAGCAAACTGGATCAGGGATGGTAAACCAAAGTAATAAAGAATGTGGGTCAACATAAGAGCCAAGCAAATAACATACTCAGAGGGCAGTCAGCAATGGCAGCCCCCCTATTTCTCTCATGACACATGCACTTTAAAAGCGCCTAATAACATAATGCAAAGAACATCAAAATTCAGTAACCTAAAATCAAACAGTTCACTTTCAAACACTTTTTGTTGTGAATTACAGTATTATTTGCCTTTTCCCACTTTCTTTGTTATTGATTAGGCCTCACCACATCTCTGGGTGTTAGTAAGTGACTGACAAAGTAAAACTGGATTGCCATTGCGTCGAAAAATGCTATTTCCCTGATCTGGATTCAATAATGTTATAAGTCATTGCCCTGAAACGCATATGCAGAGCAGGACTTCTGTCATTGGCAGTGAAGCAGAAAGTTCAAAGGCTAAATTTGCTTTGAATTTGGCGTGGCTCCGCCCACACAGCCACATCATCCATTCACAGATCCTTTGACAGGATCTGTGAATGAAGGGACTAAAGTCCAGGCTGCTATCAATGAGTGCAAGTGCTGTGACATTACCACACTTGTAGTGCATTTGTACTTCCTCCTGTCCCTGTTATGAATGTGTGTGCATTTCTTAAATAAAAGGTGGGTTATGCCAATAAAGTTAAAGTCAGCATGACAATCAGGAAACCAGAATTTCCAGAAGGTCAGCAATGGCACCACACAAATTCCTCTCAGCAAAGGTTATTTTTTTTATTTTTAAATAAAACCCTTTACATTGTAATTGAAATTTTAATTTGAATGTATCATGTCATTTTTAGAGGCTTATAGAGGACATTCAGAGAAAGGAACCAGAGAAGAACAATATTCTGAAGCTTTCCAATGACCTGGCCAATACTCTAAATGTAAGTTCTGTTCTCTGGCTGTTTTTTGTTGTTGTTAAATGTCCCCTCTCAGCTGAGCGTTACACAGTATCTGATTTTAGAAATGTCTGTTCCACTTACAAAATAGTCAACAGTATTGTTGAAGCTTATTTTAAATTTGCTATTTACTTAGAACTACAGCTACTGACTTTTAAATATTGACTCTTTCAACCTTGTTTTACTGAAAGGATTATGACACTCAGGCTGACAGGTACTGCTCCACCCTGGACAGCTCCATTGTCTCTGCTGCCAAGAAGCCAAAAGTCAACACTCTCCAGGAAAGCATTGATAATCAGGTGGGTCACAATACATCAAACAACATACATTTCTTTGAAAGGGGTGCCAATTATGTGGAGTTTCTTTTGCCGTGTAACACCAGAAAAAGGAAGGGGGGTGGGGGGGCAAGATGTTACCAGGGCAGACAACAGTAAAAAACCTCACATAGGTTATGTCTTCTCTATCTTACTAAAAATGTTTTAGAGATTCACTATAACTTCCTGATCCCCTGTCACTGGGAGCGGAAGCAAGGGGCTATGTCTATCCATTTTAAACAGATAAGAGATGACAAATTAACCTGACAGAGATTCTGACCCTTCCCCACACTATCCAAAAAAAGGTGGTATGGTTTTACCTCAATTGATAGCCAGATAAGATTGACCAAACTTGATATATCAGGGCTTGAAAAATCCACTCAATCCACTCTGTGACGAGCAGACAGTGGAGCCCGACGAGCAGCTTCCCTTCCGTCCGTTGTAATTACATGGCCGGCCGGGAGCTTTACAGTCAAGCGATCGAGCGTCTCGAGAGACGCTCCATCGCTTGCATCAGCAGTTGTCACTGCCGTTGCCGGTCCCGAGATCCGCTGTGCCCGATGCGGCCGGGACCGGCACGGCTCTGTAACAGGAGATCAAAGGGAGTTCAGTACACGAACTTCCTTTTTATCCTGGTGAGAACCCAGCCTAAAGGAGAACTATGAGGTGAGTGCTTTTCACTCACCTCATAGTTCTAGCCGACCTGTGACAATGAGACTGTCACAGGTCGGCTCAGTAGATCGGGAAGTGAGCGAACACATACCGGCGACCTCTCACTTCTCGATTTTTGTTACATTTATGGTACTTTTTAAATTATATAGTAAACCCCCCCGTGGTGATTATATACCGCCAAAAGAAAGCTCTATCTGTCCCCAAAATGTTTTGACATAAATTGCAAGGCTATAGTCCGGTCATGCTGACTGGTGAAATTTTTGACTGACTGGTGAGACGCTATCAAATTTTTCAAGCCCTGTATTATATATATTAAATTTTTTTTATTACAGTTTGTCTGAAGAGGCCATTTCTTCTTAATACAACTGGAATTTGATCTAAAGTGGGAACAATTTCTTACCATCTCTCCTTCTCTTACAGAAAAAAGATTTGGTGAAGCGCTACACGGAGGCAGCAGTGGAGAGCAAGCAGCAGCTGAAACAAATGGAATTTGCCAAAAACATTTTAGACAAGGTAATATAACATCAGACTTTTTTATGTGTGATTATCTCCAGTTATATTTGGGTTTAGCTTCCTAGTAAAGATGACTGAAATGTGTTTTCTAAGGATAGAAATAATACTTGCATATATAATATGAGAAAAACAAAGATTTGCCATATGCAAACGCTGAATGTCAATAAACAGAATAGGCCCAATGGCTGTAACATTAAAAATATCAAATATTATTAATACATTGAGAAAAAAAATGGTATACAGGGGAAATAACCTTTTTCAAGTACACATCCTTTTAAAGGGCAAACAAGAAACAATACTGCAGACAAGAAAACTAAACACAGGTTGGGGGAATTCGGTATCCACAGGAACATGTGGCCCATCTTATATATGTAATTTTTTCTGAAAGATCTGTAGATATATGATGTAGTTAAAACAGTTGTAAATTGGATGAAAAATGTTACCTGAAGGTTAAAAAGAGAACTTTGAGCACATTGAATTGTTCTTTTTCTGTTACTGTTAGGAATTAGATTGATACTATTTTAATAGTATGCTTGTTTCTTCAGTCAGATACTCATGATGGTGTTCAGCTATCAGTACAGCAAAATCTACGTTCAGAGAACACTCGGAGATCAGTCAAGGAATCAGAGAATTTGTCAAAGGAACTAGAAGAGGAGAAAATTAAGGTGGCCCAGGTACAGCAAATGTTGGAAGAGAACAGGAGGAAAATCTTTCTGCTAAAGACACAAAGACCAGTAGAGAGACTGGAGGAAAAGGAAATGGTACAGTACTACAGAGAGCCTAAGCTGGAAAGTGAACTTGCAACTATGAAATCCCAAGCTGACAATGCTTACAAAGCAAGAGAAAATACTCAGGCTGAGATAGACATGGTGAGTAAAAAATTGGTGACTTTGGAAAGCCAGAGGAAAAGCATCAAACCTCAACTGCTGACCAAAGAAGTTACAGAAATAGAAAAAGACCCAAATCTAGAGTCACAGGCGCAGACATTGAGAAATGAGATTAAACACTTCAAGGAAGAGAACAATTCCCTTTCACTGGAGTTAGAACGCTTGAAAATGGAAGTGCTAGTACTTGAACAGAAGCAACCTAATGTGAAGGAAAAAGTTGTACTAAAAGAAGTAGTCAAGCTAGAAAGAGACCCTGAGATGTTAAAGGCAACAAAGGCGTTGCAATTACAGATTGACGATGAGACATTCCGCAGAAGGTCTCTGCAGCAAAATATTGTGAAAATGAGGAGCAGAACAGAGGAGTTAGAGAAACTGATTGAGTCAGTTGAGCCTAAGGTCATAGTAAAAGAAGTAAAGAAGGTAGAGCAAGACCCTGAAACACTGAAAGAGGCAGCCAGGCTGAAAACTTCAATAGAAGAAGAAAGAAACAAAAGCATAATCCTCACTCGAGAATTATCTGAATTGCAGTCCAAGTATGTGGTGGTGGAGAAACAGAAGCCAAAGGTGGAGATTAAAGAAAGGGTCAATGAGGTGTACGTAGTACAACCAGAAACTGAAAAGGAAATTGCTCGGTTAAGGGTTGCTCTCCAGGAGGTCACATCCAAAAAATCTCTCTATGAGAAACAACTGCAAACTACCCAAAATGAATCGTATATGTTGAAGTCACAAAAACCAGTGGTAGAATATAAGGAAATTGTCCAAGAAGTAGTTAAGTTGGAAAAGAGCCCAGAAGTGATGAATGAAATAAACAGATTGAGGGGACAACTGAAAGATCTGGAGTCCACCAACACTAGGCACCTAGAACAGAAAGCTAAGTTGTCCAAAGAGAGAGACGACTGGAAGAAAGAAAGGTCAAAAATAGAGACAAAGGTAGTGAACAAAGAGGTTGTTAAATATGAAAGTGACCCTGTGCTGATCAGAGAAGCACAACGTCTGCAACAAGAAGTACGTGATGAATCTCAAAGAAGGAGGGAAATGGAGAGCTTAGTATACGACTTACAAAGCAAGTACATCTTGTTAGAGAGAAGAAAACCAGAAGAGAGAGTTGTGGTCCAAGAGGTTGTCCATGTACAGAAAGATCCCAAGATAGCAGAAGATCACAATCGCCTGAGCAGGACACTAGACGAAGAGGTCAGCAACAGGCGTCGCTTGGAGCGCGAGGTGGAACAATTGCGTTCTCTTGTAGATGAAAAAGAGAGGCTGCTGAATTTCCAGGAAGAAAGGGATAAGAAACTTGCAGCAGAAAAAGAACTGCGACAGATAACTTTGAGAATTAAGGAGATTGAGGAAAGCCCTCCACCCGTGCAGGAAAAGATTCTTATGGAGGAAGTGGTGAAGGTGGAAAAGGACCCAATTTTGGAAAAATCAGCAGCTTCCCTGCGCAATGACCTGGATAAAGAAAGAACACAGATGCTAAACACTGAAAGAGAATGTAAAAATCTGCAAATGAAGATAGAAATCCTACAAAGAGAAAAATCTCTGGAAAAAACTATCTACAAAGAAGTCATCAGAGTGGAGAAGGATAAGGTACTGGAAGGTGAAAGGGCCAGACTGCGAGAGCTTTGTATCAAAGAGAGGAACGCCAGACAGGACATGGAAGATGAGTCCAGAAGACTTAAAGAAAAGATTGATAGGATGGCTGTAATGAAAAAGACATGGTCCAAAGAAGAAGATGATCTTCAGAGAGCCAGATCTCAAGGACAGCAAGAGAAGTCAGCAATAGAAAAGGAGTTATTGGAACTAAGAAGACAACAGCAGCAGAAGAGTGTGTTTTTGAGCAAAGAATCTGAACTTCTTACACAAAAGGCGCAGAATGACCGCCAGAAGCGGACGCAGTTGGGTCAAGAACTGTCCCTTTTGGAATCCAAAATTCTTAAGGAAAAGGACAACATATATGAAAAGGAAAGGACCATTAGGGACTTGCAGTCCAGGGCCAATCGCGAAGAACGCAATCAAGAGACGCAAATGAGAGAGACCAATGTATCCACAAAAATTTCTATCCTGGATCCCGATACTGGGAAAGAAATGTCACCATATGAAGCGTACAAGAGAGGCATTATAGACCGCAATCAGTATATTCAATTGCAAGAATTAGAGTGTGACTGGGAGGAGATTTCTACAATGGGATCTAGTGGTGAAATTTCTGTCTTGTTAGACAAGAAGAGTGGGAAGCAGTATTCCATTGAAGATGCTCTAAGGAGCAGAAAAATCACCAAAGAGGAATTACAAATGTACAGAGATGGCAAAATTCCCATTTCAGAATTTGCCCTTCTTGTAGCTGGTGAAAAGCCCCAGACCAACTCCATTGGATCCATAATTGGATCCAAGTCTCCATTGACTTCCCCTAGTAGCCAATCCCAAACACGCAGTTTTTTCACCCAAAGTGCACCACCTAAAACATTCCACGATGATACCTTTCCCATTGCTGGGATCTATGACACTACTATAGACAGCAAGTGCACAGTGAGGAGTGCAGTAACACGAAAATTAATAGACCCAGCAACGGGTCAAAAGCTTTTGGAAGCTCAAGCAGCTACAGGCGGCATCATTGAAATAGTTAGCAAAGAGAGGTATTCTGTAAATAAAGCCATAGACAGAGGGGTTATTGACAGCAGTAATCCACAAAACTTATTCAGTGCCCAAAAGGCTTTCACAGGTGTGGAGGACCCCATGACTAAGAAACGGCTGTCCGTAGGAGAAGCTGTGCAGAAGGGACTTATGGCCAAGGAAGCAGCTTTGCCATACCTGGTGGTCCAACACCTTACTGGTGGCTTGATTGATACCAAAAAGACCGGGAGAATTCAACTGTCAGATGCAGTAGAGCAAGGTATGATCACCAGCGATCTGGCTACTCAGATACAGGATGAGTCAAAATATGAAAGGAATATAATTGATCCTCTTACCAAAGAGAAAGTGAATTACAAAGAAGCCATGGCACGATGCCGAAAAGACCCAGTAAGTGGCCTTCTGCTACTGCAAGTGGCATCGGAGGGCTATCAGCCTGCAGTTTACCGTCCTGTCAATAACATACCATCTTTAACTTCTTACAAATACTAGTGGGAAAGCTTTATTGTAATGTTTCCACTCTGCTTCTTCTGTGTCTCTGTAATCTGTTGATATTATAAAACGATGATATTGTTCTTATGGGCAATGGTAATATTATATCTGTGGTGTATATTCATTGTCTTCTGTCTGTCAATAAATTGGAAAACAGCCAATCTTATATTTTCACATCAAAGTCTTTTTGTATTCAGAAATCAGTTATTTCAATTATTTTGATATTACAGCATATAGACTAATCTGTAGGTGCTGGATTTCATTATCTAGGGCTTACTGTCTAAAGTCCTTGGTCTAAGTAACGTCCCTATGACGTCAATGACTGAGCAGCCATACATCCAGTAAAAAAAGAATATCTCACTGGTCAAAAGTGCACAAGTTGGTGCTTTAAAAAGAAATTGGTATCACTAGTATTTTATCCCTGTGGACAACAGAGCACTGTAAAAAGTGAACAGATGAGGCAAACGCGATGGCAAAAAGTGGGTGTGTCGAGAAGGCATGAGTACATTATCTAAGCCAGTTCCAATCAGTGTACACATACTCACATGGTATGTTTTCATCACAATGCCATAATCTAAATTGTCAAATGTACAAGTTAGGAAAAAAGAAGATAAAATCCCTATATTATATGCTTACTTGCACACTGAACCTAAGCACATGATTATCACCTGGTCTAGTCTATCTTATGGTGGAACACCAGCCAAATTTCTCCTTTCTTAGTTTTGGCCAGAGTGGAAAGGTCTAAAACCTCCATCAAGATTTTATTGGTCAGATGTAGGCGAGTGAAGCTGGAAATTGAAAGTCTGAAGGCGAGTCTACACTGTGGAGAATAAAAACTCTGGCTATGCAGTTCTCTTGCACGAAGGGGCCTCAAAAGGCACCTTGAATGAACCATGGAAGGTGCAAGGAAAATGTGAGTGCCACACCAAAGGTATAGCCAAAGTATATGTATTTTGTCACACAAATCCAAAGATAAAGACAAGCCAACGTATTTCAGGGACTATACGTTTTCCCTTTCATTAGGGCTTAAAGTCTATTTCCACCTTTGTAAGTGACTAGCGTTTATTGTGGTAATGAAGAGGTGCAATGATGAGGTTTACATGATGCGCACATTTTCATGACTCACATTGCAGACGTTCTTCATTATTTTTATGAAGGTTTAGGCCGGAAGCCTAAAAATTCAAAATTGTCTCCACCGGTAAATCAGCCTGACACCAGGGTGTTAGGCTGTAATCAGCTGCCCCCCTCCCTGTTACCCATTGTAACATGATCAGTAAACACCAGCTCTACCTTTACACACAATACACTGTCCAGAGGGGGGCTGATAACACACATTTCTTGCAGAGCACAGAGGAAGATATTTTCATGCGGATATGAAGGAGGAAAGCTAACAAAACATGTACGTTTCTGTGTTCATATACAGCAGCTGCATATGCCTGCTTCATGTACACTTGGTGTACATTGCTGGCATATGTTTTATTTTTTAAATACCTCTGCAAAGGTGGAAATGGGCTTTGAGATGCTCAATTACTTGGAATCCTAGTGGTTTTAATCCAAAAGCATGCTTAGCAGAGATCTCTCATGCTTTTGAGTTAAAGGAGCCAATTTATTCCAGGGTTGATATAACCCCCCAATCCCACTAAGAGTCCTACCAAACCAGACTTCTGTGATTACATATATATACACACCCTGGCTCACTACCTTTGTTGTGCTGCTCATTTTACTTGCACTCTTCAACTTGGCAGAATTTCCCACCATTTCCTCTCCAAGTGACACAACAAGAGGGTAAGGAAATTTCGCTGAGCGCACATCAACAAAATGGGACAGAAGCTCTACCCTTTCCCACTTATTGCTGCCTATATACTCTTTGGAGATACTTCTCAGTTCTTGATGATGCAACAGAAAGTGAGGGAAAATCACCGCAAGATTTCCATTCCATTTAAAACTAAAGAAAAAAAAAAAGTTGTCTGGAGTTCTTTAAAATATAATAGTATTAAAAGGCTGAAAAAACCATTGTCACATTCACTCAGTAATGTGCAAAGGGCAATAACCAGAAGAAGACTTAAAGTGGCCAGAAAATATGTTTTGGTATCAGTGACAATATTTTAAAGGCCATTTCCACCTTTGTAAGTGATTAGCAATTATTGTTTTAATGTAGAGGAGCAGTGATGATGAAGTACACATTTTTATCATTCACATTGCAGGCTTTGTTCATTTCTATTAACTTTTTATTAGGCCTGAATCCTACAAATTCAAAATTTTCCCCACAGGAAATTCAGTCTGACACGGGGGTTGGATTGTAAAGCAAGCTCTAAACAGCTGCTCCCCTCCCTGTGATTCTGTGTAACACAATTACTAAACACCAGCGCTGCCTTTGCACACAATACACTGTCCTGGGGGGTACCACTATGAATACTAATGAACGGGGGGTGGAGAAGTCAGTTGTAATATACACAGATTGCCTGCAAAACACAGAGGCAGCCATTTCCATGAGGAGATGAAGAGGAAAGCTAACAAAATAGATGTTTCTGTGTTCATGTACAGCAACTGCATATGTCTGCTTCATGTAAACTCAGTGTACATTGCTGGCATATGTTTGGTAGCAATGGCCTTTAAGCATAAATTAGTAGGGCTGGTAATTATTAAAATTTTTGTGTTCGATTAATCGATTAAAAAAAATTTTGGAGCGGTGAGTCTTTTCATTTTCGTTCAAAAGAATTTTAATCGATCAAAAAGTTTAACGAATTAATCGTTAATTTCCCCAGCCCTATAAATTAGTAATAAACATTCTAGATCTAGGTGCATTGGTTACTAGACTCCTGGGATCAGTCTAGACTTCTGGTAAACTATAGGAATCAAATTTCCATGGGAGGCACCTGTGAATGATTAATTTTGAATGGCCTCTAAGTTACTGCACTTGCCTTTGTAGTTTTTCTGCATGTAGTAATAAGACATTTTCATTTTGCATACTTTATTCCAAATAAAATAGGTTATCACAAAACGTCATGAACCATAAGCCCATTGGTAAAGATAGGAAAAATGAAGAAAAAAACCTTAGTATTTCTGGAGGTACTGCCATCATTCAAGTAGTGAAATAACATGCTGAACATGAAATCAGAGATGAAAATCATATTGAAAATAGAGCTGGTGATGAAAAGCTGCAATGCTGCCAATGCAACCTGAGGGTTTAGTGGAGCTCTTCTGACTGCTGGGCACTAGCTGCAGGGATCTGTGTCCCCTCTGATCCCCGCGGGGTTTCGGAGGGGACGCAGAGTCGATGAAACACCAGCTTCCAGCGCAGAGAAGAGAACCAGGGGACACAGACCAACTAATCGATAATGAGAATAGTTGACAACTATTCTCATTATCGATTAGTTGGTTGCAGCCCTACTCCAATCCTGAACAAGCATGAAAATTTGAGAGTCAGAGTGAAGACAAAAAAAATCTGCATGCGTTCGAATTCTGCGCCTCCAAAAGTACCAAAGCCATTGGAAATGCATGAAATATAATTTTCAGAAATAGCAGCCTACATATTCTTTCACTTGAAATTACCTTTAAAGTGATAATGTTATGACAAAGTTACTTACAAAAAAAGACCAAACCTGTAAAAGAGAGACTATACTTACTTTTCCAGCTGCCAGTTTCTTGAATCAACGCCACTTCACTGTTTACCAGGTGCTGCAGATATGTCATCGGCTGGATGGATCAAATACCTGCTAACCCCACCGCTACAATGGTTCCTCCTACCAGGCTATATGTCCTGTAATGATGTATGAGCCAGTGGTTGGCACCACTGTGTGTGGTGGGAGGAGTCGGTATTCACACAACCAGAAGAGTGGAATACCTGCAGCAGCCAGAGGCCAGTAAAGTGGTGGTGTTTTAAGACATGGGTGGCTAGAAAGGCAAGTATAGTTTCTCTTTTTCTCCTTTTATAGTGCCTCTTATTTTACAGGGCTGCAACTATTGCTGCTATATATATACACACACTCCACAGCCACTACACTTCCAGGGATGTAGACTCTTGCTTCCCCTCCAGTCACTGTAGTTTCCCCCTCTAGTTCGTACGTCACTACAGGAACCAAAGTGACTGGCAAGGAGAAAAGATCCAATGTGATGGTGGAAGAATGGCAGCGGCTGGGAAGCAGAGATACAGTGGCTTTTTAATGCACAGGCTGCCAGAAAGGTGAGTGCATAAATACTTCTCATACAGGTGACCTATTTTTTCTAAAAGGAACCCTATGGAAGCATTGTTAAAACTTTACTATGCTTAAACTTGTATGCCCTCTATAATGCCTAAAACCCGTCATGCAGCTCCCTTGAGGTAGACTGGAAGTATACCTCCTGAAGCATATGCAGTGTACATTTCCCTCTCTCTCTATGCTTCCTATATCACCAATCAATTTCAAACTTCTACAGCAAGTTTGCAGCTGATTGCTGTCAAGTAGACACTTGTTAGTTTGGACATTTTACATTTTCTGTATGAGAGAGACAACACGGAGTCTGTAATGGGCGCTCTGTGATCTCTTCCCCTGATGTGTTACAGACAGAATGGAGTCGATGGGCTGATGCAGCAATTCTTGAATAAAAACCTAAAACCCTGAGCCTGTAGGTGGTGTCTATTCTGTGCATCTGAAGGCTTTATTTTTAGTCTTCAATGGAGACCACTTTACACAACTGTCAGCTGTCTCAACACTGGTTATAATGGAGATCAAAAAGCTAGATCATCGTTTACATTAAAAAAATCCCCTGGCTCCAGGACAAACGCAGCTCAGGAGAATTCATTTCTTGTAATTGCTGGATACAATTCTTTCCCCAAAGGCTAAATACCAAATATGCAGCACACTTTTTACAAGTATATACAAATGTCTTATAGAGCAGCCAACACATAATTACAGTAAATCTGCTTCTTTCCAACCTGTTACACAACATCTGCTTATGCTCTGACTTATGTGTAGGACAAAACAGTGACATTATACACAGGTGACAATTGCATCATGTTTGAACCCTTACAAAGGAAATAATACCCCATGATATTATATACCGGAGGCTTGCAGCACAATCTTGTAGTCTACACAGGGTATTGAGCTCACATAAGTCCTTGTTCAGCTATGTTCCCAAGATGTATTATCTCTCTAGAAAGTATTTTCTCTGTTCTTCTATTGCATTCTGCAAAAGGGAGACGTCTGCACCTTCAATGCAAGTTAGCAAGCGGGCACACAGTACTACATGGGTATCTGGAAAACAAGAATAAACCAATAATGGAACTGCTAAGAAAAGGAATTAAAGGACAGCCCCACCCTGATGAGTTCTCTCTACTTTTGGTAGACTAGAGCATGGTTTGTTAACACTCTAAACTTAAGGAAATATCTCCCTGTAAAGTGTATCAGAAATGTCCTCTTAGACATTCGGCACTGTCCCCATTGGAAGATTTCCCCTCACCTCCTGTGACAACTTTCAAATGTTCTATTACTTTATGTACCAGAGAAAAGGGTCACCAGTACAAAAAGAGAAGAGGATGAAGATCCCCAAAGGGGGAACAGACAACAATAAAAACTAGGGATGCACCGATATTTTGGCCGTCGAAACATAACGGATGAAAATGGCACTTTCTGCAAAATGCCATTTTCTGGCCGATATAGCAGTGCATCTGTGACTTCTCTGGGCGCTGCTCTGTGTCCCAGCAGGGAGGAGAGAAACTGTCACAGGCAGCCAAGCGCTGCGGGAGGAGAGCGCTGTAAGCGGCCGGCGTGTCTCCTCCCTGCACCACTCAGCCTACTGTGACAGATTGGGAGAGCGGTGTGGGCACAGATAGCCAGCGCTGTCACAGGAGGCTGAGCTCTTCTCACCGCATCGCTCCACTCAGCCTCCTGTGACAGCTGTCAGGATGGAGAGCGATCAGCGATCGCTGAGTGTTTGTAATTAATTGAGTACAGAGTATGTTTACCATATCCTCAATTATGAATGAATGGGAAGTGATCTACATCACCTCCTGTTCATTCATGATTGTGGTTATAGTAAACAAACTATGTTCTCATGTTATGAATGAACAGGAGCAATCAGTATAGAGGATTCCTGTTCATTCATAACTGGGGCTGCAGAAAAAGAGATTGAGGACTCAATCTCTTCTATTTTAACAGTGAAATGTCAGGGATCTGTTTAGACCCCCAATATTTCCCAGAAGCCCCTAAAAGTAAAGTAAAACATAAAAATAAAAATGAAATATAAAAAAATTAAAGTTTTTAAAAAATAAAAAAATTTGAAAAAAAAAGTTAAAATAAAAAACATTTTCGGTTTCGGTCTGACATTTTTTTTCCATTTCGGTTTTGACATTTTCATTTCGGTGCACCTGTAATAAAAACCCAATTAAACCATTTTTATGAGTTTTATTATATGATGAACTCCCTTGTAAAAGCAGCACTAATGTGCTGTGCGTAAACAATGGTTTGGATGTTCAGTGGTCGGGCATGCCCCCTGCAGTCACAAGTACTGTGCTCCAAATAGAAATGCTCACACTTTGTTGACTGGAACTGCCGTTGTTCACAAGGAAGTTTGGCATACGGCATACAAAAAATACAAATACTTCATTTTTTTCAGCAGCATGATTTCATTGCACTCATATAAAACAAGGATACAATTTGGGTTTTAACACTTCTTTGCGCTATCTAAACCAAAAAAAAGTCTTGGCTTTGAATGCCACCACATCACACAAGTGCACATAACTCATGAAAGGGTTCAATCCCTATCTCGGTCCACCCCAAAATGTAAAAAAAACTGCTTTTGGTGAAGTTGTATCCAAATCCTGTAGACTCACCATCTCCAGATTCCAGCTCGCCCAGTGCCATGTAATGTGATCCAAGACGGGGAGAAAATGGTTCCACAAACCTTGTGTTCACCTGAAGCTTGTGCTGACCTGTTGAGTGGTGGGCTGTGAGCACTGCCTCGGACTGAGTAAAATCATAGCAGTTAAGTCTGCACACAGAAGAGTTACAAGTACCAGGTTACTATATTACCTTATCAGAACAATAACATAATACCTGTAAAACCAAGTAAAACTTACAAATAGTGGAAAGTCCTGCAAAAAATATATAATATAATAAAATATTTTTTTTTTATAAAGCTGCTAGCAGGTATAAAGTGCACCTAGAGGGACATTCACATAACTTCAGCAGCTTTCACTGCTATGGCCAAATGCCAGGCTGTTCTGAATGGGCAAAGCTCATACACTTCTTCCTCCTGCTTGACACACATTCCTTTTGACCTACAAGGCAGCTCCTCGCTATCTGGAAATGTTGGAGCTTTGCTGGCAGAGAGCAATTAGAGCTTTGTCAGTTATGTGCAGACACCCCTAAGGCTGGGTTCACACCTGGGCGTTTTTCAGCGCTGATCGAAGCGCTGAAAAACGCTCAAGCAGTGAAATCCCATTTCCTATGGGCATGGTTCCCAACTGGGCGTATTTCAGCACGTTTTGATGCGCTGAAAAACGCCCTACGCCCGAACTAGTACAGGAGCTTCTTTTGGGGCGTATTTCCACGCGTATCCATTAGGATACAGCCGGATAGCTTTCGTAAACGCGCGTTGTCTAAGGTTTTTCATTTTGCCCCTCACCACATTTCAGCAAATCTACCACAGCATTTACCAAGGCCATATTAAAATTAACCTGTGCTTTGCTCACAGATGGCAAAACAGCAGAATCGCTTAACTGCTGACCTCCCCAGCTCTCCATACATCTTCCCTACTTTATTCACACAAAAAAATGGTACTTCTAGGTTTAATGAGCCTGTAGGACTCCCCTTCTTTGAACAGGACAGCACTGATAACTAAATGCTGTCACATGGGCTCGGGGAGAATCTGCAGCCATATGCAAGGGAACAAAAGAAAGTTACTGGACTGTCAGCCGAAAATCTGGGTCTGAACGTGCGAATTGTGGCCGTCAGCGACTAGTCAGCCCAAGAAGCCATCTCGTGGAGTCATCTCGTGGCCCAACAAAGTACTGATGGGGTGGTCATAGTAATCTGGCCAGTCAGTGTATGCCCTCATTATCTGGTTGCTCCTCTGTGGATCCACGATCAATGCGCTGTCTCTGGAGTAGTCACGGAATCCAATATTCATATTATTTGTGCCACTGGGGCCTGAGGAGCCTCCCTTTATCCCCCTCTGCCTCCCTGTCTCTTGACCCACTGACTCACCTCTCTGGTATTCCACCCTAGACTCTTGTTCTCTGGTCCTTATATGTTCTATGTGCTTTCCCTTCTTTCTTTGGTTTGTTTACTGCCTGCATGTCTGGGATGCAACACAGTCTTTTTTTAATTGCCCATACGTTTTCTGTTTGAGACGCACTTTACTACTGAAATTACATGGCGTTGACCCTATGTCTTAAAACTTGGGTATTTGCTTATGTTGCTGCACACTGAATGGGATCCGTCCTGAAGGACAATGTATCTATTTATGCCAATGTCTCCTGTTGGATCGTGTTTGCCAGCCCCTATAGTGTCTTGATCTCTTTCTGGATTTCCTTCTTAAATTTTTCTTTTTGTTTAACTGTATTATTGTACAAAATGCTTAATAAACTGTTATTTAAAAAAAAAAAAAAACCTATACCCTCATACATCCGTCCTACTTTCTATAATTTGAATTGTAAAAAAAGGGTTACTGCACACTTGCTTTTCAGAAGCTGCGGGCTTACTCCAACTTCTGATACCCTGGAAGAGCTGCAGTGAAACGTGTACTGACAAATGTTTTCAGGCAGAGCTACCTACTGTCTGGCTCTGCCTGAATGTAGTTCTTTGCCAGTGCCCATGTGCTATTTTCAGGCATTGGCACCAATAGTTGGGTGATGCGAATACATAAGCATGGTGCACTGTGTAGATTAGCCAATATAAAGAGCTCAGTATTCCACTGCAGTCACTTAAACCTTCCTGCTTATTAAACACATTGTGTAAGGCTAGCCATACACAGCAAGAAATTACCACCAATATATAGGAATCGCCTCAAATTATTACAGAGAGTGGCCTTGCCAGACTCAACAAAAGGTTGATTACTCAATCAACTTTTGTAGAAGTGGCCAGGCCAGAGCCAGCTGTCACAATACAATAGCTGCAGCGGGAGATCAGTTTACGATTGCTGTTAGAAGAATGAAAAAAAAAAAATCTATTAGTGTATGGCCAACTTAAAAGGAGAACTATGGGGTAAGTATTTTCCCCCATAGTTCTCCTTAGGGTAACGGGAGGACATAAACTAGCGTGCTCCCGTGACATAAAGCTCAGTATATCGCGAGCTACAGCATGCGGTATACTGAGACCACTGCAGCCGGGACCGATCCTGGCAATACTGTCGAGATCCACCCAGCTGAGTGACAGCTGGCTCTGCCTATCTAGAGGCAGAACCAGTTGTACCCGCCCCCTCCCCAGTCCATTCCGCCAGTCCGCGCTCGAGGATCGGAGCGGGGAATTCCTGCAGGGAGCCGTGAGTGACAGTCCCGGCTCTCTGCAGGGACATGATCGAGAAGTGAGCGAGTGACGCTATGTGTTCGCTCACTTCCCGATCTATAGAGCCAACGTGTGACAATTTTATTGTCACACTTCGGCTTGAACTATGAGGTTGAGTGAAAATCACTCACCTCATAGTTCTCCTTTAACTTTCAATGAGTCAGCCAACCCATAGAATAACATCAGTAAAGCAGAACCACTGAAAAGAGCTTGCACACGTAAGAAGCTAACATGGCTGCCTCAATGTACATATAAAGTAAAGATAGAAACAAGGGTTTCTTAAACATATACACATTAATAATAATTATCACATCAAGCCTATCTGCTTTATATGTATATCTATTACAGTTGAAAAAAGAACCTTTGCTGAACTAAAGTATATGTAAACCAGCCACTCAAATCTAAAATAAGCTTTCACATGTTAAAGAAATCTTTTTAAAAAATGACAATATATTTAAATTTGGAGATTGCATCTAAATAATTCTTGGTGATCCTGCCATTAAGGTCCTTGTTCATGCACTTCCTGCAATAGGAGGACAATACTGTGTCCCCGTCACATGTTCTCCCAATGTAGACTTCAAGCCGCCACACCAAAGCAAATAGCACAGGTTCCAATGTTGCCACCATTAGGAAACCCGCCCTTAGAAATGATGAGCAGTAGTTGCTGAAGTTCATGTAGGCAGGAACTGGATGTAGGACATCAGCAGTACTGAGGGCAACAAAAGGTACACAGGGGGAATTTATCAAAACTGGAGCAGACAAAAAGTGGAGCAGCTGTGCATGGCAACCAATCAGCTTCTCTCTTCAGTTTGTTCAGTTAGGATTTAAAAATGAAAAAGAGAAGCGGATTGGTTGCAATGCAGAGCTGCTCCAGTTTTTGTCTGCTGCAGTTTTGATAAATTCCCCTCACAGGGCTTCAGCAAATTAAATGTCGCTCAGTGAGGGTTTACATGCAGTTTATTTAGCTGCTAGCCAGAATAAAAAGAAAACAAAAGGGGAGTGAATGAAAAGGGTACGTTCCTAAGTTTTAACTTTGGTGCTGAAGTCACTATTTGCATAAATATGAACTCCAGAATTTGTGGATCTCAGGGTACCCTAAAGGCAAGTCTTGTACATTTAGGTGCCTGTTTTTCACAAGTCCTGGCAATTTACTAGTTCTAAAGTCAGCCAAGGTTCACATGAAAAATCTTTAAGCCCACCTCTGGGATCCATGCTCTCCCACTTCAAAGCCCTTTTCTCACCTCCGCAGTTTTTAATACTTTTTACTTCCCTTTTTCTGGCTGGTCATGTGACGCAGTGGGTCCTTTTCCTCCCACTATTGAGTGACCCTGGATGATGCAGTGGCATTGACCTCATGACAACAGCACGGTTCTCTCCATCAATATACTGGTAGTACAGGAAGCCATTCTCAGGAGGCAGTGCTATGACGCCCTGTACTCCTAGTCTTCCAGGTTGAGTGACACCAGGTATCATTCAACCCAGAAGACTGAGAACATCTTGTCGCTGGTACTGCAGAGGAGGACAGCTTCAAATTGAAGGTATTGCTTTCTTTCTTTACTCTAACAATCAAAAAAGAATGCCTCCATGTCTATAATTTGAGATCAGAGTGATTGTGAATGTTCATGTACCATGTTATAGAGGTGCCCTTACCCCACTAATGTACTGTATGCTTTTCTTGTCAGATTGAGTGATTAGAACCATGGACCTGCAGCTAAAACAATGAGCTATAATTGAATTTCTGGCGAAAGAAGGTTGCACCCCTAAGGAAATCCATAATCGGCTAAAGGATGTTTCCCATAGACGCTCTAGTGGAAATCCGGCTTCTCCTTAAAACTTCTTCACCCAACGCTGCACATTGCTAATGTACACTACAGCATCCCTTAAATGCTCAACCTTCTTTCACTAGAAATTTAATTACAGCTCGTTGTTTTAGCCGCAGGTCCATGGTTCTAATCACTCAATCTGAATGAGAAAAGCATACAGTACATTAGTGGGGTATTAGTGGGGTAAGGACACCTATATAGCATGGTACATGATCATTCACAATCACTCTAATACCTTGGTTCTCAACTGGTGGGTCGTGACCCAAAAGTGTGTCGCGACCCCGTGTTCAGTGGGTCACTGGATGCCTTCCACTTTTCTAGGTGAGAGGCTCCTCAGCCTCCACCTAGCGCAGTACTGTCAGTTCTCATGCCAAGCAGCCATCCAAAATATGCTGCCCGATGTCGAGTGTCAGCTTCAGGTGGGATGGGATGAGGCTATGGCCGTGAGGGAGCTCCATCCATACGTGCATTGCTTACAGCTCCCTCACGTGTTCTATAGAGGTGCCTGGACCGCAGTGATGTCACATTCTGGCTCCCGTCACCTCTACAGGGCACACAAGGGAGCTGTATAAGCACTGCACATATGGATGGAGCTCCATCGCAGCACAGCAGCCCACACTGGACCCCAGGCTGAGGATCCACTCCAGTTCTTGTAAGGGGCGGGAGACTGAGTAGATCTTAAAAAAAAGATTCAAATATTTAGTTTTTTTGGAGTGTGTATGTTAGTGTGAGAATATCTGTGAGTGTGTGAGATTATGACTGTGGTTGTGTGTCTTTCAGTGTTTTTGAGGGCCCGTTCACACTAGTAGTTCTCAACGCACTGTACCGTGCAAAATGTTAAATGCACTGTACCATGCAAAATGGCACCTACCGCAAATTCTGTTGCGGGAGGTGTGTTGAATTGCTATTCATTTGAATGGCACCCCAAACTCACCTCCCACCCACAGTTCGATCGCCTGCAACGGAACGCGCGGTACCACAATATCGTGTGTTCCAGTATGGTGCGGCATTGGTCACGACTGAATGACCAAGGACAAAAGTGGGTACTGAGGTTACGCAGATTGAGAACCACTGCTCTAATAGATCTCAAATTACAGACATGGAGGCAAACTTTTTGACCCTCATAATGTGCACTAAATATCACAGCTCTAGAAGGGCTCATAAAATGTTTAGCTTGATTTATTACAGGTATTTCTGGGCGTTTTGTAGCGCGTTCGAACGCTCTACAAAATGCTCAAACACCGAAATCCCATTATTTCCTATGGGTATGGGTCACACCTGGGCGTATTACAGGCCGTATGAACGCGCTACAAAACGCCCTACGCCCAAAGAAGTACAGGAGCTTATTTGGGGCGTTTTTGTTGTGCGTTTCCATTGGAATACAGCGAAGTAGCCCTTGGAAACGCGCGTTTGTCACGCCTTTTTTTTTTACCGCGAATCGCGGTAAAAACGCGACAAATGCGCATATTCCATACGCCTAGGTGTGAACCCAGCCTAAAGCTGGCCATACACCTATAGATTTTTTCTATCAGCCTATGGTCACATACTCTGGAAGCAGTGGTCTCTCTTTAGCTGCACATACACCTATTGATTATCTGCAGATTTTCAAAGGTCAGATGGAAAAAGTGCAACAGATTCCTCCATCTACACTAAACTGCGTGTATGGAGGAATCTCCCACTGGGCCAAGCTTCAGAATTTTGCTAGTTGGCCCCGCTGGCTCTCAAAACACCTGCATCCAATCAGATTGTTCAGGTAGTTTGACAGCCAGCGGGGCCGACTAGCTGTAACACTCTGGGTTATAACAGTGCAAGGATCTCAGCTAAAGATATGATGTGGAGAGTTTTCTCCTAGGGATCAGATATCGTATATATCAAGTAGTGGGTAGCAGGATAATTCAAACAGTTCAGGCTTCTACCCAGGCTTCCAATCAGACATTAAGTACTTGAGTATAGGAAGTGTATCACAGGCAGACTCTTTGATAACACCGTGGATAGTAGTTACTAGCGCTTGGGAAGGTTTCACAAGGCAGTCTTTTGATAACACATTAGAAGTAGACAATAAGTACTTGCATTTGGGAAGTGGTTCACAGGCAGTCTCTCCTTATGAACAGGATCTATCTCCAGGTAGCCTTGGTTCAGAGTCCTTAGCAGGGCTAGTAGAGCTTGTTAGGTGTGTACTACAGCCCATGCAATCAAGCTTGTCCAGGATGATGTGCAGAGAGATGCAACAGTGACACCAGTTTATGTCTCAAAGGAAATGTCAAATCTTAGAAAATGGAGGAAAAGATATCTGGTGATGGTATCAAATGACATCCAGGTGGAAAGCACTGTGGAAAGGTTGCCTTTGAAGGTAAGCTGCATGATGGCGTCAGAAATGAGGTTCAACATGCGGGATTAGGAGGGGTATTGCCCTGCGTCTTCTCCCTTGCTCGAACGTCGGGCAATTGATCTTCCTGGCTTAAGCCAACAGTGGACGCGGGGCCTGATGAACTCATGGATCACGAGGCGGAACCCTGCGCTGATCTGTGAGCGAAGGATAGGTGAGTTCATTACACTAGCAAGGTACTGAAGCTTGGTCCAGTGGGAGAATCCTCCGTCCACACAGTTTAGCGTAGGAGGAGGAATCTGTTGCACTTTTTCCAACTGACCATAAAAAATCTGCAGATAATCTGTGTGCCTGGGCAGCTTTAGAAGTTGGATTTTGACTCAGGAGAGCCTTTACGATACCACTTGGACAACTGCCCTGGAGATGAGTCACTTAACATTGTGATGATAATGGGGTTTTGAGTCTGATAATAACTAAATACAGCATTCTCTTGTCCCCTAGTTCAGAGCAGATGCAGGTCTTCATTTAGTCATTTGCCAGGTCCCTCCACATTCCACAGAACAGAGATCTGCTTATCTGGCCTGTGATCTTTATTGCCCAGCACCAGTGAGACGCCGCAGCTGAAGCGGATCCCGACAATTATGCCAGGTTCCGCCCATTTGATTTATTACAGGTATTTCTGGGCGTTTTGTAGCGCGTTCGAACGCTCTACAAAATGCTCAAACACCGAAATCCCATTATTTCCTATGGGTATGGGTCACACCTGGGCGTATTACAGGCCGTATGAACGCGCTACAAAACGCCCTACGCCCAAAGAAGTACAGGAGCTTATTTGGGGCGTTTTTGTTGTGCGTTTCCATTGGAATACAGCGAAGTAGCCCTTGGAAACGCGCGTTTGTCACGCCTTTTTTTTTTACCGCGAATCGCGGTAAAAACGCGACAAATGCGCATATTCCATACGCCTAGGTGTGAACCCAGCCTAAAGCTGGCCATACACCTATAGATTTTTTCTATCAGCCTATGGTCACATACTCTGGAAGCAGTGGTCTCTCTTTAGCTGCACATACACCTATTGATTATCTGCAGATTTTCAAAGGTCAGATGGAAAAAGTGCAACAGATTCCTCCATCTACACTAAACTGCGTGTATGGAGGAATCTCCCACTGGGCCAAGCTTCAGAATTTTGCTAGTTGGCCCCGCTGGCTCTCAAAACACCTGCATCCAATCAGATTGTTCAGGTAGTTTGACAGCCAGCGGGGCCGACTAGCTGTAACACTCTGGGTTATAACAGTGCAAGGATCTCAGCTAAAGATATGATGTGGAGAGTTTTCTCCTAGGGATCAGATATCGTATATATCAAGTAGTGGGTAGCAGGATAATTCAAACAGTTCAGGCTTCTACCCAGGCTTCCAATCAGACATTAAGTACTTGAGTATAGGAAGTGTATCACAGGCAGACTCTTTGATAACACCGTGGATAGTAGTTACTAGCGCTTGGGAAGGTTTCACAAGGCAGTCTTTTGATAACACATTAGAAGTAGACAATAAGTACTTGCATTTGGGAAGTGGTTCACAGGCAGTCTCTCCTTATGAACAGGATCTATCTCCAGGTAGCCTTGGTTCAGAGTCCTTAGCAGGGCTAGTAGAGCTTGTTAGGTGTGTACTACAGCCCATGCAATCAAGCTTGTCCAGGATGATGTGCAGAGAGATGCAACAGTGACACCAGTTTATGTCTCAAAGGAAATGTCAAATCTTAGAAAATGGAGGAAAAGATATCTGGTGATGGTATCAAATGACATCCAGGTGGAAAGCACTGTGGAAAGGTTGCCTTTGAAGGTAAGCTGCATGATGGCGTCAGAAATGAGGTTCAACATGCGGGATTAGGAGGGGTATTGCCCTGCGTCTTCTCCCTTGCTCGAACGTCGGGCAATTGATCTTCCTGGCTTAAGCCAACAGTGGACGCGGGGCCTGATGAACTCATGGATCACGAGGCGGAACCCTGCGCTGATCTGTGAGCGAAGGATAGGTGAGTTCATTACACTAGCAAGGTACTGAAGCTTGGTCCAGTGGGAGAATCCTCCGTCCACACAGTTTAGCGTAGGAGGAGGAATCTGTTGCACTTTTTCCAACTGACCATAAAAAATCTGCAGATAATCTGTGTGCCTGGGCAGCTTTAGAAGTTGGATTTTGACTCAGGAGAGCCTTTACGATACCACTTGGACAACTGCCCTGGAGATGAGTCACTTAACATTGTGATGATAATGGGGTTTTGAGTCTGATAATAACTAAATACAGCATTCTCTTGTCCCCTAGTTCAGAGCAGATGCAGGTCTTCATTTAGTCATTTGCCAGGTCCCTCCACATTCCACAGAACAGAGATCTGCTTATCTGGCCTGTGATCTTTATTGCCCAGCACCAGTGAGACGCCGCAGCTGAAGCGGATCCCGACAATTATGCCAGGATCCGCCCAGCTGCGTGACTGACAGCTGGCTCTGCCTATATAGAGGCAGAGCCAGCTGTACCCGCCCGTCAGCGCTGGTGGATCGGAGCGGGGAGGAGGGAATCCAGCCCCTCCCCCTGTCACGGCAGAGAGCCGTGTCAGGATCGAGAGGTGAGCGAACGGTATGTGTTCGCTCACCTCCCGATCTACTGAGCCGACCTGTGACAGTCTCATTGTCACAGGTCGGCTAGAACTATGAGGCGAGTGAAAAGCACTCACCTCATAGTTCTCCTTTAACCAAAAGTCATAAACCTGAGTTACAACTTCAGCTCCATTTTATCATTTGGAATTGGGCGGTGATAGTGTAAAATAAAGGTTCATCCTCCTCCTGCTTTCCATCCCAAGTCCTGCCCTAGGGGCCGGCTCCCTGACACCCCCTAGAGGGCTAACAAAAAGATGCTGAAGGCAGATAGAGGAAGCTCTTGTGTTTCCATTAGAAAGCACATGGTGGCAGCGAATGTTTGGTGTGTAAATGTTTAACTGCGGAGTTAACCAACCCAGGTGATGATCGCTCTCAGTCTGCTGGCCTGAGATTGTGTCCTGCGAGCTGTGAAATCTCTGTGCAGGGTGAGGCTGAGAGTGGTATCGCCACGTCCTTGTGACGCCCACGCTCGGTTCAGAACTGCGTATAGTCACATGTGATTGACGTACAGCGGGTTCGGGCCGGGCGTATGCCACTTAACATTTCTTTCTCTACAAAGCTCAAAGCATCTCTCAACACCAAACAGATTTTACCTTCCAAATGTTCTCACAGTGGATCCAGAAGGCACTTTTCCTGAGCTGATGTCCCATAGGTACTGGTACTCTGCAGGAGGTGGCAACATCGTGTACCTCAAGTCTCTTCACCTACACAAAGAAATTATAAGTTAACTAAACCTCTTTCTGACGGATGACAGACTATCTCTGACCATGAAGCATGGTTGATCAATATATTATATCACTGATTTTGGAACAATAGAATTAAGCGTAATGCACATGGAAAAGAACCAATGTATATTTATATTCATCACAAAACATTCAGAAGGTGGCTGTTTTCTACGTCTGCCCCCAGATCACATAATAATGGAAGCCAATTGTGCTAATTCCAGACTCATTTAGAACAGTAGGTGGTTTCCCAGCCTTTAGGAAGCTGCTGTTTAGCTTGGGGTAGAGGTGTTGTGTAGTCCTAACTAGGAGTGAGCAGCCCAAGGGGACAATGCTGCTCCTCCACAGATACAATATGGTGAATGAGTGTTTTCACCCGAGGACAGTTAGTGTATTACTGGCTGGATCACCAGGTATGGAATATGTCCTGGAGAGGGACTTCAAAGTGTCGGTAAAGGCAATGCTCTGTTTTTTTAGTTTTGAACATAGTGTTGCGGGGTTAGACCTTCTGTGAAAAAGGAACCTGACCCTCCTTTCTTTCTTTAAATCCCCTTTTAACTTTTTTGCCAAGTTGTCCTTTATAAACATAGTCACACACCCAGCAAATCCATCACTGTTCTGCAGTAAACTGCTATTTTGCTGCTGCTCACCAGGTTCCGCGCTGCCAACTTCCACTCTGATGTCATCTGCGAGTCAGCTGTCTCTTCCTGGTTCTTGCATATGGCCCCCTGACAACACTCATGCACCGCGGGACATTATCAATGGGCTAGCTGCAAGAGATAGCTGGCCCCCATGGTGAAGCATCATGGCGCATGTGCTATGGATTACCCCCAGCTCTCATGAGCTGTATGACGTGGTGTCCTCAGAGGCTGCGGGCATAGTTCTCATTTTTGTGCAGCGCATTGGATGCCACCGCAGACACGTTGTACACATTGTAAACAATAATAAAGTTTTTTTGAAAATGTAAACAGTGACAGCCTGTGCGTTGTATTCCACACTGCTCAAGCTGCCACACCGCACTAGCCTGTCATTAAAATACAGCATTTTAGCGGTTGGGCTTATGTGAATGGGCCCTTAAAGTTTTGCTGTGGTCTGTGTTCCTGCTGGAAAGATTTCCCCCTCTACTTGTGTTGGAGACCTTTGTCATTCAGCCAGAAAGGGATGGGAAGTCCAGATTTGGTGAAGAAAAAGCCCCTAATAGGGACACCTATTCCAGTGACAACTTTCAAGGATGGGAATTACGTTCATTTCAGAGAGATTTCTTCTCATTTCCTGTTGAGTCCCCAGAACAGGAAACAAAGGGAAATCTCTCAGTCTGGACAAAGGTGGCAATTTTAACCCTTTCCCACTGTTCAACACTAAAGAAAAACAAAGTTTAGGCCTTACATACACCTTACCTGAGGCATCAATTACAGATGGACTAAACATTTAATAAGCCATTCTCCCAATTCTAATGAGTTGTATCAGAACACTGCCGCTTCACGCATGGCAAGAAAGGACATGAAGTGGCAAGTTACATGACCCCAGTGAAGCATGGATAAGGATGACAGCTCTGAAACTTGCACCTTTAAAATCAAGTCAGAAGGGCAGCTGCTTATTAAAGCATAACTATTCCTGCACCAGGTGTGAGTTCTGTTTTTCTCCCCCCACCCCGAGTTTTACAAGTCATTTTTACTTGACTACAAAGTACTAGAAACCTGCTTGACATCCAAGTTTCTTTCAGACCAATAGCCAGAAAATGACTGCAGCTGTCTTCAGATATTCACGTTGAATCCACGGTGGCAGCCGCCATTTTCTTGTAGACCACCGCTTACCTGACTAGAGCCCCGAAGTAGGCTCTACAACACTCAGCTGGACGCACGTTGCCCGGAAAGCAGCGCGGAGCATGCCGGGAGTTGTAGTGTGAAGGCTACGCTCTTCCTATTCGGCTCATGTGACAGATGGAGGCGGGGATATACTTGTCACATGTAAATCGGGGCAAAGGACGACTATGGCCAGTTGCAGAGTTGACAGCAGAAAGATGAATCCGGACCTGAGCAGGGAGAGGGCCACAGCCTCCTTTAACCCGGAGATCATCACCAACATTCTGGATGGGACCCCGGAGAAAACCCACAGGAGGAGGGAAATTGGTAAGGCCATTATATATATATATACATATATACATACACACAGTGTATGGAGGAGGACAGAGGGGGGATACAGCTGTGTGTACAGGAGGAGGGAGATTAGTAGGGCCAATATACAGAGAGGGAGGGTACAGTGTATGGAGGAGGACAGAGGGGGGGATACACCTGTGTGTACAGAGGTGGGAGGTAAGTAGGGCCAATATATAGAGAGGGAGGGTACAGTGTATGGAGGAGGAATACACCTATGTATACAGAAGGGGGAGATTAGTAGGGCCAATATACAGAGAGGGAGGGGGGATACACCTGTGTGTACAGGAGGGGGGAGATTAGTAGGGGGCCAATATACAGAGAGGGAGGGTACAGTGTATGGAGGAGGACAGAGGGGGGATACACCTGTGTGTACAGGAGGAGGGAGATTAGTAGGCCAATATATAGAGAGGGAGGGTACAGTGTATGGAGGAGGAATACACCTGTGTGTACAGGAGGAGGGAGATTAGTAGGGCCAATATATAGAGAGGGAGGGGTACAGTGTATGAAGGAGGCCAGAGGGGATAGACTTGTGTGTACAGGATGAGGGAGATTAGTAGGGCCAATATACAGAGAGGGAGGGGTACAGTGTATGGAGGAGGATAGAGGGTAGGCAAAGATAGGTTAGGGTGGGGGGATTAAAGTAGAACTCCAGGAATTATCTTTTATGGAAAAATACATAGGTCCAGCTTGGCTCAAAAGGGAGATTTTTGGACCTCTAAAGAGAGACCACTGCTTCCAAACAGAGTATGTATCCTACTTTACAGCAGGGCAGGGGGCGGCCTTTTGTACTCAGACTAAGGCTGCTTTGTGAAGAAAACAAACTGTAAGACTTTGCACCCCTTTTGTTTTAAAGAACATGGAATGTGTTTAGCTAGTTTTAAACTAAAAGTTTGATGGGGATTTAAATTCAGTCATTCTTTAGGTAGCCCCGTCCATGCACTTAGAGTTCAGCTTGTGGAGTTTGATGTATTCTTATTGCTGTTCTAGAGAGCCTTGTGATCAACGACCCAGCCTTCCACAATGAGGACCCTAACTTCTTGTCCCGCAGCGAGCGGTATGAGCTGGCCATCAAGAAGAGTTCTCAGATGGTTAAGAAGATGAGAGACCATGGCATATCAGACCCTGAAGAGATCTATTGGTTCAAGAGGTGGGCATTCCAAATACACATTTCCTGAATATTTTCATGGACATTTTAGACTAGCTCTTTCCTTGTCATATTTGCAGTAGCATTCCACATTGTTACAAAGTCATCAAATAGATTAATGTTTGGGGACGAAATGAACCAAAAAGCCCAGTTCTAAATTTCTGTAGATCATTGACTTTACAAAACAGAAGATATTTATATCATCACATTGTCCATGAAGGGCTTTATGCCTCATTTAATGGAGACCTGTCTTTATCCTATTTGTCTTCCACAAAATTATTACAATATTAAAACAAACAAGTACTAGTAATCTCTGGCTGCACTATGATGCGGTAATGCAGCTGGAAAAAAAAACCCTGATCATTCCCCTCAAGCTTGCAAACTGTGTGCTTGCTTAAAGAGACATTAAACCCTTTTTTAACATAAACCAATACTGTAATGTGTGCCTTACTGTAATCCATGGTAGTTTCCCTTCTCTTTGCTGCTCTTCCTTTTTAAATCCTCATGTCTTCTCATGCTGGGCAGAACTTCTGTTTTGCAGCAGACTGCCTTGTCTCTGAAATGGATACATGGTGTCTGTGTGAAGGTTCACAACCTGAGCCAGCACTACAGGAAGAGGCCCTCAGCTGCAAAGGGAAGTTCTCCCCCAGCATGAGAAGACATGAGGATTTAAAAGGAAGAGCAGCAAAGAGAAGGGAAACTACCATGGATTACAGTAAGGCGCACATTACAGTATTGGTTTATGTTAAAAAATCTGAGGGTTTAATGTCACTTTAAGTATTGTTTCTCCAATACTGGCGTTTCAGAGAAAATACAGTGCACCGTCAAAGATGGCTCCATTTCAGCACTGAAATAGCCCAGGCATCGGCCTGCTAAAGCAATGCACACAGAAAAGCACTTCAGATTAAATCTGAACTCTAGGCAGATATAAAAGATACAAATGAATGCAGCCCTGTAATCATTAATACACCATTAAATGTATTTTTTTTTAAATACAAACAGTGTAAGTATCTGAATCTGACCTGACAGCCACTTGCAGTCCCTGTGCAGCAGGGCTGGAACATGAGAGGAAGGAGCTAATTGGTTTATGTGCCGCCCAGAAGCATGCTGAAAGGAGAGTGACAGAGAGATGAGCTCATCAATGAGCTGCTTCTCCTCTCATTGTTCAGTCACATGCTGGGGTAAGGGGGGAAAGGTCCAGAACTACCGGGGCTCAGAGGAAGTGGGTTGAATGATACTGTGCATCAGACTGTTAACATCTAATTTTAGGAAAAATGTTCTGTGGTGGAAATCTCTGGACTGAAGGTAAATATGTCAGCAAATTTACTATCTCTTTATCTTCTTATTTTGGGTTGGAGGCCGGCTTTAAATCTGATGGAACACTGCAAACAAAGCACCACTAACTACATGGACTGATGCAACACTGCTGCGAAAAACTTGACACCTAGTGCATGAGTAGCAGTGAAAAGTTAAAGAAAATGGGAACACTCATTTCAAAGTAACCTGTCAGGCTGATATTGTGGGAGCTATGCATTGTTAACTAATGTTTGAAGGTGCAAGCTCCAAGGGTGTAATTCTTATCCTTGTTTCAGTAGTTACTAAGTCAGTGTACAGCCAGTGAAGTTTCGAAGTGCCCAGTTTGCATACTCTGGCCAGGACAGTGATTGGCTTAGCAAGGAAGCAATGTTTGCCATGACAGAGCCATAGTTGGCTCCATTTGATAAAGTCAGCAGTACCTACTTCCATCTTTAATATTATTATTATTATTATTATTATTATTATTATTATTATACAGGATTTATAAAGCCCCAACAGTTTTCGCAGTGCTTAACAAAAAAAGCGAGACCGTACAGTTACAGTACAAGACAGGAGGGCTGGGAGGGCCTAAAAGTTTATGTTAAAGTATACTGAAAAAAATCTATAAAAACGATATCAACATACTGACTAAAAATGGCCTGGATGGGAAGGGGGTTTAACCCCGCGGATGTCAACTGGTTAAAGAGGAATAACTGGTTTTATTTTTGGCAAACTGACTGTTTTGAAAGGACTATGTGATACTTTGCATAAGGACATTTATCAATGAAATTTGAAACGTATTGGATGCACATTGACTGCAGGTCAGACTGCCTGTCATTTCACAAAGTCTGTAAAAAAAATATTTTTCAAAATATAGCAGAATATGTTTATGCCATTATGGTGACCCTCCCAGCAAAAATAAAAATAAAGAATTCTCCTACCCGACATTCACGACGATACCACATATGTGTGCAGTATATGTAGTTTGTACCCATAATAGGGTCCAGAAACAATAGTGCACATTGTTTTTTCCTACCTAAAACACACCGACACGAACATGGACAACATAAACACTAATACTAACACTAACCCAGATTAAGCCCTGATCTATTTTTTCTTTTATTTAACAAAGACTTCTCCCCTAGTGCAGAGAAGAAATGGTACAGGGTAGGTTTCCATTTACAGTGATCACCGTGATTGGCTATTAGTGATCACATTGGTGGAAGCCAGACCTTCTGGCTCCCAATGAATTTTGAGGCCAGGAGCTGTCAATGACAGCTTGGTGTGGGTGCTGGGGGACACACAATTGAGCATGCTCCCACCACTATATACTGTATATGTGTGGTGCCAGTGAAGAAAACCCCCTTCCATTATGCCACATTTATGTGTGATGCCAGCAGAAATTGGTTAAAAGGATAAGTGCACTTATCCTTGCAAAGTGAACTTATTCTGTTTGCCCCTTTGCACTGACCTAATGTAACCCACCCTCCCCTTCCACAGGTGCATACTTACCTGGATGCGGTGGCCGTGGCCTGCAGTGTTTGTTTGCATCCAGTACCGCAAGCCTCACTGTCCCGGCCACACATGCGTACTAAAGCCCCGGAGACCTCCATGGACCCATCTCTCAGTCTCCAAACTTGCAACACACCCCATAGAAGTATATGGGGCTGTAATGTGCAGCTGTGGCCAGGAGAGTGAGACTTGCAGCGGTGAATGTAGACAAACACCAGAGGTCACAGCTGTCTGATCCAGGTTAGTATGCATCTGTGGAGAGAGAGAGGGTGGCATCGTTAGGTCAGTGCAAAGGGTCAAACAGGATAAGTGCACTTTGTCTTTGTACACTTGCAGTACAAAAAGCAGTGAAGTGAAGTTACTGATCACAACCGAGTCATAGCTGCAAAAGAGCTATAGCAAACAGAAGTCTGACAATTGCCATTTGCCTCATTAAAGGCCAGGCTCAGGTTTTACTAAACAAATAATAATCCACCCCCCTTAGCCTTCCTAAGCCCAACTGTACTAACTACCTCCCCACCACTTCCCGGCTGCTTACGTACAGTACCTCCTGGTCCAGTGTTTACATCCTTGGTGGTAAAATTCCTTTCAGCACTGGCCCCCAGCTTGACTTGAATGGGGCCCATATACTGTGGCTGCCCACCATTTTTATACGGCTCCATTTAAGAAGGAACTAAAACACTGTGAAGGACATGATTTACAGGGCTAGTCATACAGAACGTTGCAATGACCTCTTCTTTGTGCCGAGGTTTGGGTAAAATTCCTTCTCATCTGCAGAGGTAACTCTGTCGCACCCTTGCAACTCAGTTGGCAACTCAGAATTGCAGAAGCAGACTTCACAATACAAAAACACTGTTTTTTTAGTATTCTGGGATAGTTTTCTCATAATGGATTTATGATTTTGTTTTTATTATTATTTATTAACCTTCATACTACTTGGTGGAAAGATTTGTGCTTTCTAATGCATAGAAAATAGAAGCAGCTGTATTCTGATAATAGGAGAAGTCCTTTCGGGTTGTGAGATTGAGTTGTGTGGGGTTTTGGGTGTGGAAAGCTCCTGGACATATGCAGGACAATGAGGGTTGTGTGTGTGTGTGGGGGGGGGGGGGTGTGGGGGGGGGGGGCTTGGGTGTGGGAAGCTTCTGGAGATATGCGGTACAGTGGGGGGGTATTGGGTATGGACGTATGCAGAACGATGCATGCCAATCTAAAGTGAATGTCCAAGTATCTTGTAGTGCCACTTGTTTGGGATTTGGGACCTTTGTCACTATGAGTTCCATAAGAGTATCACCGTTAGATCTGATTAACAATGATAAATTGAGCACGATTAAAATATTGGACACCAGAAGAAGCAAGATGGCACTTTAAGATTTTTCTGTCCCCTTCTAGCAAAGCCACTTCAACTAGTAGAAAAATCCCTGACTTTTTAGGTGTTGTAAGAGTAGGTGTGCCTTCCCTATGTGACAGTGCTGCTGCTCACTAGGCCCTGAGTGCTGTCAAACGGGGACTTGCCTAAGCATGCTTATGCAAATATCACCTTTCACACTTTCTTGATTTGCATAGGAAGAGTTGCAGTAGTGCTGGGAAGATGGAGACATGGAACTTTAAAGGCATAATCTGGCACCTTACCATGACTACTCCAGTGGGGAGGGCTCCATGTGTCTTCACAGGGTTATTTTAAACAAGTAGAGCAACTGTGTCAACCAATCACCAGTTATTTATCTTATCTTACTGTAATAAACTGATCACTGCTTGTTATGTGGGTTATCTTTGCCCTTTGTACTAGATGGAATAAATCCATAGTGTCATGGTTATTAGGTGTTACACTGAAGTAGTAAAAAGTTATTGTATATCTGTGTGGTGTCCTTGGAAAAATTGGTTAAATAGTTTATCCTCGGAGTATCATTTTTGTTACCTGCTGAAATATTATGTTCTAGTAGAATTTATAATGATGGCAGGCTTGCTCCCACAGGTGTTCGAGAGCTTTAAAGTGAATATTGGTGAATAACGTAAAGCTGTGTTCCCTTTGAGTAGCCAAGCATTTGTTCGCATTGTGCCCATGATTTAATATTCACTAATATTCATTTTAATAATTAAACGGCTTCCACTCCTTTAGTAAATTAACCCCAAGGTATTCAAGCCAGAGAATCTGCATGATATTCAGGTAATAAGGAAACAGACATGGGGGAATAAGCTTTCCCTAATCTATCTAAAACTAACAAAACTTTGTGTGGAGGTCCACTTTGAGTCCCAGTGATCCTCAGGATCTGTAAGTAACATGTAGATAATGTATTGATGTTTATCTTTCTACTAAGAGGCAGTCGAAGAGCTCACATTTTCTCTGTTGATGAACAGAGCGTGAACATTTTGATCAGTGGCTTTGCATATACAGTTGTGTTCTTAAGTTTGCATTCCCTGTTCCAGAATTTGTAAGTTGTGGACCATTTTTAGGAACCATAAGAATAAGCTTGGATCCGTAGACATGTGTTTCAGATCCTTCAATGTAATGTTATTTTGTTTCTGAGATAACTCAAAACTAAGACTTAACCATAATGGTCCTTATCGTTCTAAATGATCAGGGCGGTTAGTGGGTTACAATATCCATTTGTACTATTTAGCCATCAATATACAGTAGCTCCGCTGGCTCTCCTCCATTCCTCTCAGGAACATCTTCTTTGGGCCTCCCTGGATCTTAATTGCCACCCAGTCCCCATTTTCATGCTCGCATAGTTACCCTTCTCAAAATAGCCACCTGACATCAATCCTATTTTATATCACTACCTTACAGTGTGGAATAGCATCAAGTACTCTGGTCATTTAAAGGAGAATAATGAGGTGAGTGATTTTCACTCATGTTCATAGCTCGAGCCGACGTGTGACAATGAAACTGTCACACGTCGGCTCAATAGATTGGGAAGTGAGCGAACACATACCGCTGCTCGCTCACTTCTCAATCCTGTTCCTGCAGAAAGCCGTGACTGTCATTCACGGCTCTCTGCAGGGATTTCCCCCGCTCCGATCCTCCAGCGCTGACTGGAGGAACGGGGTAGGGGAGGGTACAGCTTGCTCTGCCTCTAGATAGTTCTCCTTTTAGTTTGGCACTGGTTCAGATAATCAGTTTGTTTTTTTTCCCCACCTGATTTAACTGACCCCTTCCAATTTTGTTGGTGGTCTCATCATGGTTTTAAGGATATTTACAATCTTGGGTATTAAGTCTTTTCAACAACTTCGGGAATCTTACGCAATATCTTAATGTGAACATTAACTTCCATTCTTTATTGAAGGACTTAATAACTCAACGACCTATGGCAAGATAAATTGGGTCAGTCTTTGTTTCCTGAGGACTGGTGGGATATTTGGACTGCCACATTGTACTGCTCCAGAAATGTGGTGGCGTTGAAGAATTCCTACAAAGTTCTCTTCGATTGTGCTATACCCCAGCTCGTTTTGCAAAATACATCCCGACTGTCCACATGTTTCTGAGGTTGCCCTGAGATTGGTACAGTGTTACATATATGGTGGACTTGTCCATGTGTGTCTAAATTATGGATTGGAGTATACAACTTTATTCTTCCTGTTCTTCATGTCAACCTACGCCGGGACCCGTGTGATGTGCTTTTGCTTAAACATATCCCACTTGAAAAAAAACACTGTTACCCATGTCTTTGCTGCTAATAAAATGACCATAGCTAGGGCCTGGAAAACCCCCCTCCCTAAGTATTGAAGAGGTCAAGAACCGAATCCGGACTACCTTGGTCAATGAAAAGGTCACTGCGATGCTTAAAGACACACACGAGAACACTTTTTGAAGATATGACAGCCTTGGATTACATACTCCAAACCAAAAGATTTTCCAGCCTCTCTTTTATCCATCTGAAATTCAGACATCTTCAACTTCTTCAATCTTGACTTTTTCT